ATGTCCGGTCATTTTATTTCTTTAACTTTCTACGTTCAATCTTTAAACTAATGTTTAGCATTATCTATAAGTAATTTCAGATGGTAATTCAGAAAACAAACATGCGTCATGGCCATTTCCGAATACTAAACTATTCCGAATACATTCTAAAATAATGTTTTCGAATCTGGAATTCCGAACACATTCTAAAATCGAAAATAACACATTTTTGTTTTAGTTGAAAAAAAAAACAGTAAAATAGGAAATGAGCTTCAATAGAAATATCAGAATAAAGCCATAGACCGACAGTATATGTACACAAAGTAATTGATAGTTTATAGCTATTATGTTTAGCATATTGTTAATTCTGAAATTAGCAATAAGTTAGAGAATAGACCACCACTGCCAGAGTGCAGCCAGGATTTTCTAAATCGGAAATTCACATGCCCGCCAGTAACAGCCACCGCGATTCCGCGCTCGTTAAAAGAGCCGCCTTTTCAGCGTATAATGATCATCCTGTCACGTAAAATATACAATCCTTGACAACTACGAGATTTCAAAATATCTTTATATATTAATTTAATGTGTCCAACGTAACTCGCGGTGGCTTATTATTATGTCAAAATAAATACATTACTATTCGGTCCACGGCGATCTGTGGCCTATAAGTACGAGATAAGCTGCCTGATGTATTTAATTTTAATACGTATTTTTGCAATCTTACCAACTCGTTATCGCCGGTAGAAAAATCTCAATAACTGATATAAAATCCTGTAGAGTGCAACTGCGTTTCATACAATGAATATACCATATAATATACATATAATGTTTAGCAGTAAATTTAAAACACCATTCCTCGCCGCGATTACGCCACCTGTTAAAAAAGCCGACTTTTACAACGAATACACATTTTTCTGTTGTGCAAAGTGATGAATTCCTGACGGATACGGGCATATTTAAAATGTCTTGCTTTATTAATTTAATTGTCTTCAATTTAACCTCCGGTTGCGTCGACAAAATAAAATCCTATACCATGGCAATCCGCAGACATAAAAATAAAAACGAGTAGTAAAAAGCCCGATTATATATTGTTTTGATCCGTATTTTGCGAATTCGGCAAATTTCAGATGTAATTGTAACACTGACTCCGTTCAATCGCTATGCTGCCACTCCGATTATTTTTAATAAAACCGTTCGAAAAATCCATAAATCTGCTGTAAAATCTCTGAGTAAAATTTATTTCAGCACAATAAAAAATGGATCGAATATACTTTAGATTAATTATATTATATAGATCCTCACAACCCGGGAAAAAGTCGCGTTTTAAACCTTGTATAACGTTAATACGAGAATTTTCGACGTCAATTTAAAGTAATGGATAATCAGGCAAATCCCGCCCTCAATTAGTGACGACATGTTTCTAAGCGCCGACCAAACATAATGTGTGTGGGAGGACCATGAAAATTTCGCGATTTTCACTGCCCAGAAAAGCGTTTTTTAAACTGTCGCGGGCCTCAGGAAAACATATTTTGTCAGTATTTTAAATTGCCGCTTTTCAATCGAAAAATTTGCGTTGTCTTTAGAAACTCGCCGCCCATGAACGTATTCACCGGATTCACAATTCCGTGCGAGTACAAAAATAAAATCATTGTCATCGCTATCGTAGAACAAATTTGTGGTAAATTTGCGTTTTATAGAAAATAACACAAACGTAAAGGCGTTTACGGCCTAAATAATACGTCACGCTGATGAAAACAATCGCAAGTTTCTATCGAGAATGTTTCCATTCAACGGAAACGTCTTGAAAGCGGCGTCGAAAATGTCTGACGTCATATTAATATCCGATATTCGATATTCGAATACATTCGAATACTTTATTCGAATTTGCCATCCTTGCATGGGAGCATTTTCTGCAGACGCATATTTCAAGTAGAAATAACTATAGTGTAGAAATACTTTGCAAGTAAATATGGTATACTACAAAATGAATATTATATACCTACTTGAAAACTATCAACAGGAGTAATTTAAATAGCTTCTTTGACAACAATGAAGCATTTACAACAAGTGTCGATCGTATACATCAGGGTGGTCCAAGGTTGTCGCCTTCGCGGGCCACAAAATTATTTTTGCATTGTTCTCGGGCCACAATAGCGTCAGAAATTTGTAAACAACAAACACTTTTATTGTGCAAACGATTGATCATTGTTTTTCATTTATCAAGCTAAATCATACAAAATACGCCAGAAAAATCACTGAAACATGAAAATGTTTAGCTATATCTACATTTAATGAAAGATTTAAAACTTCATTACGGAGAAAATGCTCCCGCAAATGTAAGTGCTCTCGAACATCGGGGTTCTCAAAATAAAATCCTTCAAAATTTGGAAATGCTCATTGCTCACATGATAGCAAAAGGCCGTTTTAGATTATATTTGTCATAACTGCTGAATGATTGATTTATCATATTTTACCAAATGTAAGGTACAGGAGAGTAATTATTAACTTTTTTTGAAATATTAGGAGCATTTTTCGTTATAGACTACTGTTTAGGCCGGTTGCAAAACATCACCCCAATATTTAGTTAATATAATTGTTGGAATGTATTCCCAACCAAATAGATAGGGAGCCAGTGAACAATTTGGACCACCCAAGAACACTCAATTCAACTTCGCAAGTTCCTTCAGCTAGCCGTTGCACTAGTTAATTCAGTAAACTTTGTGATATAACAAGATGTCGAAAATATTTTTTGTTATTTATTATGACGAAACAACACCAAATGCGATTTTTCGATTACCCTTCAGCAAAGGCGACGCGGGCCACAGATAATGACGCTGCGGGCCACATGTGGCCCGCGGGCCTGGGTCTGGACCACCCTGGTATACATATTTAATCAATTTCAAATATTTAACAGTAACAATCTAGTCATTTACTTATATAACATTGCTACCTCTGTCATCCGAAATACTACATAAAACAATGATCTGACCAAACAAACGTTGAAATATTACTCAAATCAAAAAATACATCAACTATTCAACAATTTTAAATTTTATAAAAAAGGTACACTCTACAGTCTACACTCTACACCACAATCTTGAAAGCTTCCGCGTCCAGGAAATGCCTTGTGTGAAAGGATTCCATGAACGCAACATTTCTCTCGAAAAAGGGAAATTACCGGGACCGAAACGAGAAAGTAGTCTCGGGTAAAACAGAAAAGGATCTCGATTTATTAAATTCTACTGCGAAAGCAAACTACAAAAGAAACTAGTTTCTTAGTTGTTTCAACATGCCAGCAGGTATTTCAAGAAGGCAAGCATATGTTGAGGTTGTGGTGACAACTTACTCGTTCTTTACGGAATATATCTCTAAGATAGGACTCAGAATTGGCCGCCAAAGTACAGGATGTGGGGTAACCTACTCTCATAGTGTGTGCGCCAGGTTAAATGTAGGCCATAAGTTTATTTCTACTTTCCTTATTTTAGTTCTATTACCAGTTCGGGGACTATTGGTGTTAGCCAAGTAAATATACCCCCTGCCAGTAGGCTTGGGTCCCTTTACACAACTTGATGTAAAATAGGCGAACAAAATTAGTTACCTCCCTATAAACGCAGCTAGTAAATTCCTATAAACGCATTTGCTATGGGAGAAAAATAATTATATGTACTCAAATAGGTACTTTTTTCCACATTTGCCCATTGATTGTTTAGGTATTTGTTCATCTTAAATTTAAAAACTCTACTTGAATTTTCTATCGAGTCCCTTTTTTGTAATGAAAACAATATTTAATATGAAATATCTCTGATCATCACATCAATTTGTTATGTGCCGCAATAACAACAGCTAGTGAGAGACAAACTAGTACTAAATGACAAAGATTGATTATTGCTCTAAATAAATTTCAGAATACCTCTTTTGATATAACAGTTTATAGCTGAGGTCTCGATATCATTAACTTTTTGAAATCTGGTATTTCAAAAGTTCAGTATAAGAACTTGCTCAAAATTATTTGAGTACAGCTCAATTCAAATTATTTTTATTTTAGTAAGGAGAACCAGCTCAAAATTATTTGAGTACAGCTCAATTCAAATTATTTTCATTTTAGTAAGAAGAACTAGCTCAAAATTATTTGAGTACAGCTCAATTCAAATTATTTTACTTCTGTAACTGTTTTTCAACATTTAACCTGTAACCTCAATCTTTTGCGTCACGTATACCGAAAAGTATGCTCCTAACCATAGCTTCTGCGTAATACATCTTGAAAATTATTTGAACCGTAACGACTGCCAAGGTTTGCCAGGTAAAATCTTTGTTTAATAAATAAAACGTATACGGATGAGGTAGTACGCTGTATGCGAGACGATCGTAAATTACCAAGGTGTTCCCACTTAAAGTCGCACGAGCATTACATACTTGAATGAATGTATTTAATTTAAAATGTAGTCAACAAATTGAAACCATGATGTTTTTTAAATGACTAAATCAATATTTCAATGAGAAAGTCATGGTAATAATAGTATGACACCGAGAGAAGACATGGCAATGATTTCCAATCTGATAGTGACACTACCGGGGACTCAAATCAGATAGTCACAATTGACATGCTGGATCAAAAATATAGACATATCTTTACCGGACAGTTGCTGCAATGGGAAGTCTGATACAATTTAGCAGGCTGCAAACATTCTTACAAGACAATTCACAAACTTCTTCATCTGGAATTTATTAGATGAGCATACTGTAGTACAATCAATAGTATCCTGCTATAATGCTGATTTAATACTCCAGAATGAATATATGTCTAATGTTAGAAATAATATACAATTGATAAGCCAGTATTTACAAGCACCCAAAATGTATGATCATTTGTCGATATATCCCATTGCTTAATATACGTTACTGAGGTTGGAGAATGTATGTAAAAACAAGACTTCTAACTTCTACTACGACAATATTTATACTGCAGATTGGTTTGGTACTATTCCTGATTCGGATTTAACTTGAGGTTCGCGATTGTAGTCAGTCAACCGTATAACTTTTCGGTTCGCATAGAAAGGTTACACAATAGCTATGGAGTGAAAAAACGTTACTTAAGTGGCAGCAGTATGTTACTATATTTTATGAAATTTTCCTCGCTGTGGTCTAGAATTAGCTAGCGTTGCTTAAAACTTATCCGTTATATAAAAATTATAGCCAAGCATACGCACAAATGTTTGCCGACATTTGAGTGGCTATGCATGTATTAGCGAAGTCAACTAGTGGAGTTGTCAAATCAAACCCGACACTCTGAAAACTTGTCAGCCATTCGACTTATCTCGTTCTCAAATTAAGATATTGATTTTGATTTCATATAGATTTGAGAATATAACGGTAAGAGTTGCGGTTACTATAAATATGCCTGCTATTGGCATAGACCTCGGGACTACTTATTCATGTGTGGCTGTTGTCAAAAACGGTCAGGTAAGTCCAAATTAAACATTTAATTGTGTGTGATATGATCGCCAGATTTTCCTAAATATTAAATGTTGGATATTAATTAATAAACATTTGTTTATTTTGTTTGTTTCATTTTGTTTGTGGCTACACGTATATTCATGATTATTTTCAGATAATTAGGAGTAGTTTCAAACCTGTCTTTACAAGTTGAAAAATTTACTATAAATATTGCTTTCTATGCTCACTGCCGACATTTATAAACAATTAACAATCAATGCCAATTTTATTTGATGATATTCCTATACATCATAAGAAATATTTACTTTTTGAGTGTTTTGAATTGCTGTAATTAAATAATTACTATTTGTATTATTTATACATCTTCATACATCTGTTTTGAAGTGTAATTTTTTTTGTTAAGTAGAGGTAATAAAGTCTCGCTTAACCTGTTTATCGTCAGGAACTGAAACATGAAGTAGATATATGTAAAAAGAACGTTCGTTATCCATATTCTGAATAATTTATAGTTTCAAAACTGAGATTATATTTGAGTAGCGCGAGTGTCTAAAATTTATTGTATTCGTGACATTAATTTAGTCAAGTTTATAGGTTGAAGTCATGCAAAACGACAGGGGAAACCGTACGACTCCTTCGTACGTCGCATTCACTGAAACAGAACAATTGGTTGGCGACGCTGCAAAAGATGGAGCCACAAACAATTTCAAGAACACTGTTTTCCGTAAATCATTTAATCAATATGGTTTCTATAATAATTACATATCTTAATTTTATGGCTCAATTGCTACCGACTCTGATTTGTTTAAAAGAGGTTTGTTTATTCGCCTTTCAATATATGATGGCAAACTATTGATAGATCTAACGCAGTTCGAAAATGTCCTAAATTTTCTGAAAGCTAAGGAGCCCGAATATCATTCACCTATATCACAATATATTTTTCTACATACAGAAGTAAAAAGGCTGATGGGTCGTCCGTACGATGATACAAATGTGCAGTCAGACATTGCAACGTTTCCATTTGAAGTCATAAAAGGCACTGACGATAAACCCACTATAAAGGTTGTAACATTCCTAGTTATATCTAGCAACTCAATTAATTTTCAGAATATGGTTTATTTTGCGTTATATGTATTACTATTATATAATTTTGTAGCGAATGTCCTAAAATCATAGAAAAATGTACTTCTTTACAATGTAGACAACTCTCTTTTACGCTATATAACATAATTCTTCTAATTTATGTATTCTGTTACATTTAAAATTATCCCTTTTCACACATTATTGCAACATATTAGATTGTAAACGCCCTTACCAATGACAATATAGTTATATGACTATGTATGGCGTAAAGATGTCCATATGGTTTCCGTTTCGTTTAGAGCTGTATTCGAATGCTTTTCCAATTTTGGGTAAACGTTATTTATAGTGTGCAAAACTTGTCACGTCTCTGCGCGATTTTTTTCGATATGTCGAAAGTGAATGTACTGAAATGTCCGACGCTTGAGCTTTGCCGGGTACCAGTAACCGTCTCCGAGACCAACAATCGTCGGTGAAAATGCACGATTGAGGTAAGCATAAGGCTTGCAAGTACGTACTTTACGGGGTTGTGGAATTTATTTTTAGTTACGAAGGCAAATTTGAAATTACGTAAAGTCGTAATTATTGACAAACCGTACTTAGTTGTGAGAAACATCCCACAAAGTGTTTACTGTCGTATTTTTCGGGCTGCACAATTCTTCCTATACCTCGCCAAACACGCTGAACTCGGAATGAGAATTATCGAATAAGGAAACGGACTTATGAAACTTCGTTCAGGAATTTCACAGCGCTAATTTTGATATAAAAATCGTCGATTGTTTTCGTCAGTGTGGCTTGTTATTCAGGCTGTAATGATTCCGGTGATCATTCTTCCCCAATCGCACATTTCTGGCGACATAATATGCGTTGTGCCGCGAGGAAGATGAATTTTTTTTTTTGTTCTTGCACGGAACTGTGTCTCTGTAGGGAAAAAATATTATATAATATATATATTGATGAGGAGATGCTAATGATAAATAAAGAAATGAACCCACAACCTAAATTTCCCAGATTAAAAAGTGTCATTATAAATACTGAAAATGAAACGGAAAACACCATTAGTTGTGTTTTAGGATGCCCGTAATTCAATCCAATTCAAATTGATTCATTGTATTCAATTACTAGATAACTCACAAGAATGCAACAAGAGAGCTTTGCCCTGAAGAAATAGGATCGATGGTACTAAGATCTTTGCAAGATACTGCACAAGCGTTCCTAGGTGAAAAAATTCGAGACGTTGTCATAACCGTACCGCATTATTTCAACGATGCACAACGTACTGCTACAATAGATGCAGCAAAAATAGCCGACCTAAATGTACTCCGTTTGATTAATGAACCCACTGCTGCAGCAATAGCCTATGGATTGGACAAACCGGTAAGCTTTTGACAAATCAAACAATAACGTAAACGTTAAACTGATACATATAGTTAGCACTAACAATAATAAAATATTAAATGATCGAAAAGTAAATTAGTTTAAATATTTCATTTAAAGCACCATATATATTGTTTTAGAATACCGATCTCAAAACTATTCTGATATTTGATCTTGGAGGAGGAACTTTTGACGTGACTATTGCAAGAGTTAAGGACCGTGTCATTGATGTTTTAGCTACTGGCGGGGACACGCATTTGGGAGGTATTCAGATATTCAGTAATATATGACCTAAGACCCGAATAATATTATGTTTTTGTCATAACATTTCAAATTCGCGAAACAAAATTTGAAAGATGACATGTATAAGAGTAAAATACTTTATACAGGTAGATGTTCCGAAAATTTAAGTTGATAAAAGAGAAATATGCAAATACATAAATTACCAAGAGGAATCCCGCTATAATCATACGCAGAAATTTATGCACTAAAGCTTCAATAATCATATTTTCTAAAGATTCCATTGAATTCCAAAAATAAAAAGAAAGACATGACAAGCTCAAGAAACCAAAAAAAATTGGTTGGCCCATGCAAAAACGAAACGAAAAACGGTTGTTTTTTAATTTTTCTTCTCAGGGGAAGATTTCGACAATCGCATGGTTGAGCATTTTGCAGGGGAATTTCTGAAAAAGGAAGGAATTGCAATTTATAAGAATCCAAGAGCTATGAGTCGATTGAGGAAAGCTTGCGAGCACTCTAAGCGGATTCTATCTAGCGCTACTCAAGAAAAGTAAGAAAGAAGTCTCATTTTATCAACTAATTAATTCTTTTTTGAATGATTCAACAAAACAAAAAGTAATTACCTCAATTGTTTTACTATACAAGTTAGAAATTGTAATTGGCCAAAACTACATTAAAACTGCGTTAAATTGCATTAGAAAGTGGGCAGTCTATTCTAAATTCAATGATATAGGCCGTTTAAAATGAGCAACGAATCAGCATAGTCATTTATAGAACTGTGGGAATTCAAATTTGGAGATTCAATAATTTTGCAATCAATGTTCAACCAAAATATTTCAGATATTTTCATAAAAAGTGTTTATTATCCTTACGTATACAGCTTTCCAAAGCCAGCCGTGACACTCCAGAGTCGTTATATTTCATATTCGTAGCATCTTTCGCTCAATTTTAATCGACTACTCAAAATGTTACAAAGTTTCACAAATATTTGAAACGTTTCTTCAAATTATCCACATACATCATTGCTTTATACCTTATTGAAAACATGTCTGCGATGCTTCCCTCGTTATCATTTCTTCTTTTACAATCATGGCGCATACGTTACTAACTAGCGTTTATCATGAATTTTGAAGGTCAATTTTAGAACAAACAATCGCTATACACCCGGTATTATTTGCAAACATAATTGTATGTAAGTAGGTATGTAACTGAGTATACTTTTATGTAACAAAAAATAAATCTCAGCCGTAATATATTTGGTAGTTGATACATCCATGCAGTGTGTTTTTTTAGTAACTTTCCTAATTTTTTGTGCTCATTATTGTTATTTTATCAAAATTTATACTATATTTCTTCCAAATTTCAAGAAAGTTAACGATAATATGATGATAGCGCTAAATAGAAACAGATTCGGAAATATTCGAATTGGAACATTGTGATTCGAAATTCGATTCGAAAATAAAATATTCGAAACTTACATCCCTAGTCGTAACTCACGAAGCGGAGTCAAAAATCGAAACTCATGGTCATGACTGTTTTTGAATGTATTATGAGTGTTAATAATATTTTTCCATCGTTCCGCGTGACACATCATGGTCCAACTTCCCCCAGAAATAAACGTCTTGAAGTGACCTGGAAAAGATATATATGTTCATATTTGAAATCTTGGCTTCAATAAAATATATTGTAGTGGTCAATCTACATCTCGAATATAGGTTAATATATTAAGTTGATATATGCTATGATAATAGGGTTTAATGACTGCTTAAAAATACAAATGTATATATGGTGCTAGAATATTTTATGCTTCCAGTGTTATTACAGTTGGTATTATTGTGAATTTAGCGTCATTGTTGATGCTCTTTGTGACGGGATTGATTTTAAAGGCGTCATAACTCGTGCTAAATTCGACGACTTAAACAGTGACTTGTTTGACCAAACTATTGACACTGTTGAAAACACATTAAACGAAGCTGGATTGAAAGCAGATGAGGTATATTGTAAATGAGTTTTCTGCTTAACTTATTATCTATCGTAAATCTGGTGATGCCATTCTAACAATTATGACCAAAATTTAAATCGCTGCTTGAAAAAATAAACTTTGGATATACGATATTCATTTGAAATATTTCAAAGCCGGCAAGAGAGTGGGTTGGATGGAAATAGAACTTGACCAAAAAGTGAAATATTGCAGAGTTATATGAGAATCGGAAAGAACCTTGAAGTTTAATACTGTAGAATTTTTGTAGAGTTAATATTGTGTTTACGATTTTTCGTTTGTTATCTTGTAATTAATTTTAAAGCTATACGTTCCGGTTGCGCGCTTTGTTTGCGGAATGCTACGATATGTTCACAACTCAAGCTAACAGGCGCAAAGGCGCTTCTTATTTATAGATATATATATATTCATATCTTATGTATGAGCCATATATAATCTGCATCATTTTTCTTTCAGTTTTATCTGTTTAAAAAGCTATTTTAATTTAACAGATTGACGATGTTGTGCTTGTTGGAGGATCGACTCGTATAATAAGAATACGAGAATTGCTTGGAGATCTTTTCGCAGAAAGCAAGATACAAAAAACAATCAATCCAGATGAAGCCGTGGCATATGGTGCGGCTGCATTTGCAGCAAATTTAACAAACAACGTAACGAATGAGGTACGACATATTGAAACGATGTCTCTGAATTGATTATAATAAATGGGAAATTGAGAAATTTAAAATCAATGTGTCAATTTTCAACCGTTCATTTAATAACTCATTTTAACATTAATTTAAATCACGTATTTTACCAGCAATTCCCTTGCTGCATTAGTACTTTTCTTATTTTAAATATTTTTGTTTCCTTTCAATTTTCTTTTTACTGAAGTGTTCCTGATGTCACTATGAATGACACAAGAAATTTTTCTGCTTCTATTTTATCCATAATTTGTTGTTATAGATTGAGCAATTTACAATTAGTGACGTTACTCCTTTGTCAATTAGAGGAGAGTTGCGTGGACGTGATATGGACATTATAATAAAACGTAATACCAAAATACCAGTTACTAAATATACAAGGAGTACCACCACTGATGACGATCAAACTGCTGTTCAGTTCAAGGTAATTTCTACATTACAAACAATAGCTCCGATGTCGTATAGTCAATCGCCATACACTGGTTCTTATTTATACAGTCGAAAAACGCGTCAATCGAAGCTTATAACTTTTCTGGCGGTAACTCTACCCTTTCATAAATTTACTCTCGACAATATCTAAACGTTAAAGCTAGCGCATGTAGTTAAAATATGGTTTATTATTATGCTTTTGAAATTATTCTGAATTTACCTCATTAGATCTTCGAGGGGGAACGCCCAGCTACAAAGGATAATCATCTTCTCGGGAGTTTTCGTATTGATGGAATACCCCCACAACCAAAGGGTGTGCCAAACTTTGACGAGAAATATCACCTTGATTCAAACGGTATTCTTACTGTTAGTGCATATCATGCAGAGACGGGACAGCAGAAGGAAATTACAATATCTAATGATGCAGGAAGGTTGAATACAAGCAGGATAAATCGCATGGTACGATGTATATCAATATTGTGTTATAGTTACGTCAATAAAAGCTTTCGTTTTGGAAAATAATGCAAATAAAAAATGACAGTTTTTGTGGGTTTTTAATACGACCGGCAACTAATGCTGGGGCTTTTGGAGTTGACAAAAAAATCAAGACACACTGTAAACAATTATTCACGATTTTTAACGCAACTACTACTTTAATTAAAGTTCCAACTTTTTGTTCCCTTCTAGAATGAGTTTGGTCTAGTTAGTGTATTAAAATAACATTGGTGCTTTGAGATACATATACTAGAATTCTTTCTAGAATTTATTCACTGAATTGCTTAAATTGGTGTTTTAGAAAACGGAAGCTGAAATGTTCAGAAAAGCCGACGATGAGTACAGGGCTCAAAGTGAGGTTAGAAATAAACTGGAAGATTTTGTTTATACCGCGAAAAAATCTGCAAATAGTCGTAACGCGAAGCAAACTATATCGGAGAGCAATAGACAGACCATCTTAAAGGAATGCATTGAAACTGAAAAATGGCTCGAGTACCACTCAGTAAGTTATGAATATATTAAACAGATTTCCTTAGAATTTAATTGAGTCATATTTTTGGACGTGATTAACATGCTGTAAATTGAAGATCTTCCTCTATGACAATACTTATTGAATATATCCGCAATTCTGCATATTGTGATAAACATCAAAGTTTCTCAAATAATTTCGTCTGTTTGAGGCTTCATTTTATTATTTTTTTAACAGCGATAGATTTAATATTGAACAACTCTATTTTATTAACACGTCATTTTTATACATTTTTTTAGGCAGCAGAGAAACATGAAATTGAATACAGGTACAAGGCACTTAAAGACTTGTGCAATCAATTTTCACTACCGTAACGCTTATTTGAACTTCGATCACTTGTTTTTTTGATTATTACATGTCATTTCCATTTACTTATAATTACATATTTGTTCTAAATATTTTTCGATTGCTATATCCGCGAACTACATTATTAAAGGATAAAGATATCGAACTAAGTGGCGGATCATCAAATTAAACCCCCGCAAACAAAATGAATTCTCTAAAAAATATTGCTTAGTATGAACTCCAAAATATACTACGAGGAATTTCAACGACTTTATTAGGTCAAAGACAAACTAGCCGTTTGAAACGCACTAACATCGGTATAGAATGTCTCACAACATTTGAGTTTTGAAATCAAACTTGGTTTGTTATGTATGCTTCCGGTGTTATATCGGGGTTAAACTTCGGCGATGATGGATACTTTCAATCCGATTAGCGGATTTTATATCTCAATATTTTGGTACTGTTTCGGTAATAAATAGAATGTATTTACTGCAAATTATAATTTTTAGTTTTACTCATATGTACACCCTGTACACCCTCTACAATTTTTTTTTGCCCAATTTATGTATATATATATTAATTTACTTGCCAACGACTAATTCACAGTGGATTGTAGATTTTAACTGGATTTGACAATTTTGTTATTTAATATTGTGAAACCGAGTAAGAAATTTAAATCAAAGAAATATAATAACTAGTTTAGTAGTGCATAATAATTATTAAGATCTTTTCTAGTTATCATGCGCTTATACATGAATACTCTCTAATAAAAGTATTTTGTTTCGGGAGTCTATAGATTAATCACGACCAATGCATTCATCAAGATTTGGCTGTATTTTCTAATTTATATATTTGACAAATGAAGATGCAAATAGAAGAAATATTGCAAAATTTTAAAAGTAAGGAGACGTGTGGTAGTGGTAAATGGGTAGGGCTTAGAGTTATATCGGTATCGGCAATATCAGCCATTTTTCGGGATCGGTATCGGCTAAAAGTGGACCGACATTTTCGATAAGTTAGCATTTTAATCTGATTCAGAATACTTTTGAAAAAAAGTTAGCTGACGGAGGTTGAACTTATTTTTTACTTATAGGGGTCGTATTCGTGGTATTGACCTCTTAACTACCGTGCTAAAAATACCACTAGGGCTTATTTTTGAGGTCTTTTGTTCTCATTCATCAAAACAAAAATACAAAGAGGAGATTTACGAGACTTCCAAATATAAAAAACCGATACCCATTCACTTATAAAAAACACGTTTTTATCGACTGGGTATTATTTTGTGAGTAGGGCTTTTCTTTGGGTTCTGTTAAAAAATCAGGCTAGAGGTTTTTCAGGCTAGGTCTTATTGTCATGCTAGTCCTCAACTCCGCGAGTAAATACGAAAACATGATTAGGAGCTGTTTTTAGCTATTCAGTCAAACTAATTTGGCTATTTTCGCCGCCAAATTTATATATGAACATTTTTTGGTGCTCCCGAAGTATGCGAACCAAGATGGCGGACATCGGAACTTAACATGGGTAACAGGTTAGGGTTAGGCGATAATTTTTTTCCAATTTTCCTTATTTTAGTCCTATTATCAGTTCGAAGACTAGCCAAGAGCCTCCCGTAGTATTTATACCTAACATTATGGCCTAACCCTAACCTAGTACACATATTACATTCCGATGTCCGCCATCTTGGTTCGCATACTTCGGGAGCACCAAAAAATGTTCATATATAAATTCGTTTCGTTTTCAATATGAAAAATGTGCACTATGGATAATGCTATGCAATTTGAGAGTCCTGTTGCACACTAACACAGATATATTTTTGAAAACGTTTTGTCTGACAGACTTCCTCAGGCAAGCAATTCACAGCATGACATGAAAAGAACAATAAAGCGTTCAAATATGGTAATAAATGATATTGTTTGAAATTAAATTTCACATTAATTGTGACCAAATAATTAAGCAAATATTTTATGTAGTATCAGATTGGTTCTCTTTATAAAATTATTATCCCGCGGTGTACTTGATCTCACAATAAGTTTCACTAGAACATTTATCAATCAATATGTTCTAGGCTCAGCTGTTGATAGTCAGGGTTCTTTAATAGTAATTATTTGAAAGGTGTTAAAGTCCTTTTTGTGATGATTCTAATTTCTTTACTTGTGATAGTGGTCGAGTCCGGAGTTGGTGGGATCTATTACGGATACAGATGTCACGCAAAAAGGCAAATATAACTATCAGTACAGTTTGTTTGCGACTATCAAGAGCTTAGCCTAGATTTAGAACAGTGGTTTCCAACCGTCGGTCCGCGAACATTTTCGTTGTTTTGTTGTTTTTATGCTGTCTCAATCAATTTACTGATGACGAGGTTGCGCTGCTTTATTCTGCAATTTCTCCTACGCCGTCATATTGCGACGCCTTTCGCGAGATCTTGGCGCCTAGTAATCACTTTTATCGGCTCCGATTCATCGCGAATGCGCTCCCTCGAATCTCGCAATATTTACAAACCTAAAAATCGGCACGCGTGCTTTTCAGTTCTGTGTGCTTCTCCTGATTAACCTGACCCTCCATATAAACGTTATGTCTATTTCTTTGTTCAAACTAGAAATCAGTCAAAAACAGTATAAAATTCCAGTAAGATATGAACTTGTTGCAACCCTGCATGGTGTCAAGCATGGTGCCAAGTTACCGACGACTTTGCCATTGTAATGTAAATTTATTTCGTTTGAGGCGTCGATCAACTACAGAGGGATTAATATGATGAACCCGACGAAAAAGAAAAAAAGCTTGATAAAATTGTGATTCCACTTTATATTAACACAATTTTGGATACCCCGTAATATGTGAAACAAGATACATGCGTACATTCCTTTCGCATAATGGGTGCCCAGCACTGCATTTCATTACGCAAATATATGGTATTATTTTATGTTTCACCCATTTCAATTTTTGGCCTGCACCTTATTTGATAGTTTTTCTTCGTTTGAAATGTCTACAAGCATATTGAGTGCCCGACATTGCATTATATTACGCAAATATATGTTATTCTTTTCTGTTCCTGTCATTTCAATTTTTTGCCGGTCCGGGAGATACAGTTAATTTAATTTTACCGTCCGCCAGGGTAGAAAGGTTGGGAACCACTGTCCTAAAACATTTTGAAAATGTGAACTATTGTGTGTGTTTGAGATGTGAACTATTTGTCAAATCTACCACGCTTACGTGATTTAGTGCATTTTATATTTATAAGTCACAGTGCATCAGTATTTTACGAACACGCATTTCAATAGATTACTGGCGGGATTATAGATCACTGGGGTAGGAAAAATCGAATATCTTTATCGAATCGAAAAATATTAACGAGTTGTCGAATATCGGGTATTTGCAATATATACTATTATATACAACATGCGTCCAGAACGCTATTCATTCATACTAATTGGCAAGCTACACTTCCGCCTATCCTCATTTTTTACGAAAAATATTTATCACACGCAACGATGACGTCAAAATTTGGTTCTTATATCTTTATCATTTTTTTGCAATTTTACACCGACTGCACCGGAATTTAGAAATTAATGGATAGTTGACCTTTTATGATTTTTTTTCTTCTATTTTATCTGTGTAATTTTCGTATCAAATTAAAGCATTACAAAGTCGTCATTGCGTCAATCCTGAATGTTACTTTGAGTTCAAATGATGATTAGATGAATGGACAATCATGGAAATTCTACTCGTCAATTATATTACACTGGTAAAATTTAGGGAAACTTCCACAGAATAACTTGTTTTTATACTGTTTGATATTTCTAATGTTACCAAACGGTGTTGGCGCGCTTTACGCCAAACTAAAAATTAAAATGATATCCTAATACGACTTCTCAGATTTATTGTTTCTGTCTGATAGCAAGAGCCGTGTGAGCTAATTGTAGAATTACGCACGAACTTCCTGTCCAGGCAAAGCGGCCTAGGTCACGTGGTACTGGATATATGAAAAGTAAAATGTCATTTTAATATGTAAGAGAATGACTACGAAAGGTTATTGTAACTTAATAAGGTCAATGGGTCGTCGAGTTTCTTGGACGTCGATCCAGTTTGCCCCCCTTCAAAAACTAAAAACACATCACCTTGGTATAATCATATACAAATAGAAGTTCCGGTTTAAAGGAAATTGAATAATTTATTTCATTATTGTTTACAAAATTGAAAAAGGCATGCTTATCTTTTTGAGTCATCATTTTTGATCTTCAATGTGATTGCTTTGCAGTATTTGGAATTATTATAAGTGTGACCGATCGAGTTCAGGCTGTATACAAATAAAGGCATATAATAAATGAACTGATTAAAATTCATTAATTAAAAAAACAAAATTTGTCTCCCATTTGAATTGGGTAAAATGAATTAAATTTTCAACCTGTATCACATAGAAAAATTCATTCGTAAAAAATGGACGTTCTTTGTTTTACGATGAAAATCCCTAAAATTTAAGTAAAATAAAAGTATAGTGGGCGAACATAAATTTAAAATTTACGTCCAACACATTCAGGACGTGACTAAAATAGGTCAATACGTGGATATTCTAGCAAATGTGGTGACTGACAAATTATGTGGGCGTATCAGAGGCTCGTAACCAAATATTTGAACATCCCACAAGTGATAGCGTTGAGTACATGTAAATAAAGGTAAGTATTGCGCAAATAATGCATTACTTAGCTTCGAAAGCATTTATTATATAATTTTTTAGAAAAATTATGCAAAAGATGACAGTATAAACTTATTGATCAAACCAAGTCGGGGGGCTCCCGAAGTATGCAAACCAAGATGGCGAACATCGGAATGTAATATGTGTACTAGGTTAGGGTTAGGCCATAATTTTAGGTATAAATACTACGGGAGGCTCTTGGCTAGTCTTCGAACTGATAATAGGACTAAAATAAGGAAAATTGGAAAAAAATTATGACCTAACCCTAACCTGTTACCCATGTTACGTTCTGATGTCCGCCATCTTGGTTCGCATACTTCGGGAGCACCCAAGTCGGTTTAGGTGGATTAGTTGTATGTCGGCGTTTTAGTCCCACCTCATTGATGACTGATTATTTTAAACTATACATCGATGTAAAAAGTTTTTACAGCGGTGCGTTTTGTAAAGATTCTCTGGTACTCATTTACTTTCAGTACCTATGGAATTATTCAAAATTTGTATTGTAAGCAGGACAAATCTCTTTTATTAAATGGGCCAACGATTATATTTTTTATGAAAATAAACACTGTGGGTCACAGATGATGTGGCATCTTTTTTGCAAATCTTACAATATTTGCTATGAGCTCCACTCATGTTACTTTTATTAGGACTGTGGCGAAATTTGTAACTCTATTTATGAAGTTAATCTGCGTAACTACGGCTTTGTATGCATAAGAAATGTTAAAAAAACGTTTATATGGCAACGGCGAATGTTTTTATGGTTATATAAGAGTTTGCAAGCAAATTCCACTTTGATAACATTATATTTTTTTCAACCTCAATAATGTCACAAGCATTTAACTCCATTGTTATTTCCATATTCTGTAGTACTTCATTCGAGTCTGAATAATCTTGTTTTACCATAGACATTGTATACGCAAAAAAATGGGTACTCTCGAAGTATGAGAACCAGGTTAGGGTAAGGCTACAATTTTATTTTCCTAATTTTAGTTATATTATGAGTGCGGGAACTGTTTGTGTTAGCCAGGTGAATATATTCATGTCTTCCATGCCTTTACAAAACTTGATGTAAAGTAGGCGAACAAAATTAGTTTCCGTCATATTGGTATTCATACTTCTGGAGCGCTAAAAATTGCACTGCAAAGTAAAACTAAGTTCTCGTATACACCTGGAAAAATGCTTCAGCCTTCGTTGGTTCGTGTACTTCTGAAATGCTGGTTCCGCATCCGGATCTGCATCAAGTTGCAATAAAGAAAAATATACATCAATAATATATGTTTATGTCATAAATGTCGTAATGCATTGCCGTCAGTAGACGACTGAGCTTTTATAAGTTTTAATATCATCAAATCACAAACAAAATTAGACTTTTTAAAGAAATGATCAAAAAAATGAAATTTAATTTACGTTTTATTTTATGGATACGAAATATTGAGGATTCAACATAGAATATCAAGCATGATATTATTATTTTATTCGGCCATACAATAATGTGCATTTTACTCTGTGCTTATGGCAACAAACTAACTATAATAAAATTACCAATTAGAAAGGATTGACATTAATATCAATCGAATGTTGCATTGAATAAATCTCACTTGTGGTTTCAAATTTGCAATGCTAGCAAAATCTTTCAGTGACGAGAGAGTTGACTGTTTAATAAATAACGTTGTTCCAATACAAAGCCGTATTCAAACAGATAATAACATTTATCATGTGTATTGCATACACCTGCTGAAAAACAGTTGTGCTTGGAAGAGACTGGTAAATAGCCTAAATATTATATATTTAAAATTTACGTGTAGACCCTTTATTATATATAGAAAAAAAATGAAATGACTGAGATTGATGAGGACATATTGATCATTGCATGCATGCATATAACATAGAAAAATGCAGTCTTAAATACCACGTACCAAGTCATCTGTGTCAGATAATTATTAGCTTGGCAGTATTTAATCTTACAAAAAGGGGGTGTTGGAGTGCAAGTTATATTATAAAATTTTTAACTTAGTCACGAAATGGCTGTAGGTATATTAATTATGCCATCATATTTTAAATTAGCATTAGGATATCATATTTTAGTTGTCGACCCGAAAGCCAATTTACTCTAATAACATTAATGTGTGTAAATTTTATTCATCATTCATTCAAAAATGAGTCAAACTTTAATCTACTGGCTTACTTTTTACTTCGTCTTTTTTACAGTGTTTTTGAGAAATGTTCAAGGACAAAAAATATGCTAATAAATCACTGGTTCAAGCGTATTGCTTTCGGTATTTCTATATATTGAACGATTTTCGGAAGGTGCTCCAATTTCCCATAGAAATTGCACCACCTACATGCCAGCTGTGTCGTTTTAGATTTTTGGCAATAAATTTATGAAGACTGAGCGCTTGAGTAGTAGCACGGAACGACGACCTTGTAACAGATGATTTCAAATAATTCGTCGTCGTGCATTTATTTACTCATTAAACAAAAGTGTTGATCAGTCTCGTGATGAATCAGATATAGAGTGTACATAGTGACGCACGACAATTGGAAATTAAAGTTAACTGAGGTTTATGACCTTATTACAATAAAACTCAATTATTGTTTCTGAGTTTGTTTGTAAAAGACGTTGACACAAATGTTTTAGAAACACAATTGAATCAAATATTTCCAAAAGCTCTGCAATACCCACATTGGGTGTGGACGCATCATAACTTAACTCTTAGAAACGGCTACTGTAAATGGATTGCTAACTTAAAATAATCCTCAAAGTCAAACTTGGTATATGTGTTGCCAAAGCAATTAATGATTTGTGTATAACCAACGATAGTTGGTATTTTATTCATTTAATAACAAATGCAGTTTTTCATCCTCAGGTTTTCATTTATGCATTGATAATCTCTAAAAAAAGATAGTTTTTTCAATAGAAAATTTCTAGTCCAGTTTGTTCCGTGAAGCTACGTTTTTAAGTATGATATTACATATATTGGAATGTCAACACCTAGGCAACGTATTGCTTGTTTATACGCATGGTAAACTAATAACAAGGAAGAAATGCTCAAATATATTGACACGAGTTGGTTCGGGTAGGCAATTTTTAACTGTAGAGTTGTAGACCATCGGTAGCAGCGTCACGGTGTCATACAAACGTAGAAAACAGTCTGTACAATGTCATAAAAACGTGTTCCCCGAAAAAAAAAAAACCGCGTTTGTTTTTTTAGAGTAAATACTTGACAATTATTGAGTAATTTGATTCAGAGGCCTTTATTTTATCATTTGTGTCAAAACAAAAAGTAAGATCGCACAGGATCTTGAATAAAATCGCAACAGATTTAGGCAGTGTAATGCATGAAAGTGACAAAATATCACTGCACCTACCACTGCGGAGACGACTGCATTTGCTTTCTAGCCATTGTAACTATGATTTTCGTGAACATCTCTCATTAGACAGGTCATGTGATCTTCAAAAGTATACTTGGCACTTACTATAAATGTAGGTAATGCTCCTACTATGATAAAAATGTGAGTTCCCACGAAGTTCTTAAACTCAGGTCTTCAAATTATTAGCAGCAGAGGATTCAAAATATTATAAAGCTGATTGGAATTTACGGAAATAATATCCTTATCTTTTATGTAATTTACCCGGAAAAAAATTTGAAATTTACCCGTGGTGTACTCTAAATTTAACTTACATTCTAGCATTTACATATGCTATAATGAACCAATTGATACCAAAATGTTTTAAATAATAGCGAAGTTTATGGTTAAATAGCTCATTTTATAGGACTCAAAGAACATCTAGGAATAAAAAATAGAGACCAGTCTACTTCCAATATTGAGCATCTGAAAATCGAAATTGATTGGTTCATTATTCGCACGGAAATAGGCAATATTATAAACACCTATTTATATATTTTTATATCAAAACCCTCACATAGGTATACAGTTCGTATACAACAATCTAAAGTAGAGTTGGAATTTATTGAATTCGTTTTGGTAGTAAAACTGTGATTTCTGTTGTGTTCTAAAAGTTATATTAGAGGCTACTTTGGTACAGGAAGATAAATTTTTAATAAATCGTATGCATTAATTTTGGAAAGAATTTTGGATGCCCAATTTTTTGTGGAAATATATTTGTCGAAAATTTTAATTAAAGGGGAAAATTAATTTGTTGTAATTTATGAACAAGAAACAGTCTAACACGGAAAAGTCGAGGTCTGGTTTATTTTGTGGAATTGTATCACCAAAGCAACTATCTGCGCAAAGATTGCTATGTAGTGTTATTCAAATAAAACTGTAGTATCGGTCTTGGGACATTTTTCCACGACTCGACAACTATATTGTTGAGCATCGTATACAACCTGCCTGATCTAATACTTATGCAGACAGGAGAGGAACGTAAAGTTTTAGTCTAATATCAGAACTTCTGGTTATATGATATAAGTACAAATATAGCTAAACGCTGACCACTTATTAAAATAGCAGTGTCGTATGGTTGGGCTGTGACCGGACGAAGGAAAATATCAGAGAATATAATACCATGCTCTAATAGGCGGTTTATTTATATATACTAATTTCAAACGTCAGGAAAAAAGCGTATTGAAAATAGACTCACGTATTGAAACGAATGTAATGCCCAATTTTTTCAATACCATAGACAGCTTTGTGGTGAAAATATCTCTTCAAATATGTAGTCTCTAAAATGATAGTTTTTTCTTGACTTTCTATCAGCCATCCAGCGGAAAGTATCATTTTGTCGAATGATAAAATGAATTATGTTAGTGAATAATTAAAAATATAACGATTTATTGTAGTGTATAGTACTTATAAGACGCTACGCATAAACGAGGACACGCTTGGAATTGGTCAAGGTAATATGAATCTAGTTTATATTTTATTAATATTCGTTGTATGGACGAGGTTTCTAGTTATAATTTGGATTAAATCTACAAAACTATCTGTCAAATATTATAAATACAAGCAATATGAAAATGAAGTAGCCCAATAGTGATATTCTTGAAACCTACAAAATGATTCATTATTTTGCTTGCGGCTTTGTTCAACCATTTGGAATTTGGGAAACCTTAACTAGGAATAAACAAATTAACAGGGTATCGAGGAATCTGAATGAATGAAACAGAATCCGGCGACGTTGTCCCCATTGTTCAAAAAAAGCAGCTTCACGATCAATTTTCAATTTAACTAACAGTTGGCGTTACGTAAAAGTAACTACATTTCTCTGCTTCATGCCTTTGCGTAGGTTGATCCGTATGCGTATAACGCAAGGATGCCATAGCAAGAGTGAAAATGATTATTCCATTTATTTCAAGAGTCTTAGTTCACACTTACACAAATATATCGCATCGTATGCATTCATTTTTTGTAAGAATTTTAAACAATTCTAAGTGCTACTGGTTTACATTCATACAAACTATCTGTGGAGATTATTGATTTTATGGATCATAAATTTTGTACACGACCGCACGAACGATATAGTTGAATGAATGTTACTCCCTCAAAAATATTTCCAAGCAAAAACGGCCTGAACCTAAACAATGCCTTATTGAAGGTTTCGTGATTGCTTTCAAACGCTTATTTGGATCTGAACAACAAAATAACGCTTTACTCGGTTACTCACGTGATAAAAGAGGAATTCCCAACTACACGGTCTGATGATTTTGAATATATGGTATTAAACTTCCTCAATGACGTTACGTTTTATCATTTTATTGCAAGATTTGTACATAAGTTGTATATGAGCTAGTCGAATTGTTGTTACAAATGCACTCGTAATATTTACTGAGTAATATGGTAGGAACTGCTAAATATGATTCAGAAGTATTTATTTATTCTCATGCGACAATGTTCTGGTGTTCAGCATCCAAAGGGCAATTGTAAGCAGCGATTTAAGGATGTTAGATAATCTGGAAACAGTGGTACCTTGAAGTGCATAGATTTTACAAAACGCATGCGTTATAAATGACAGCTTCCCCAATATCGCAATTAGTGTTATTTGCTCAATCATTAGAATTGCAACTGATATTGATGATTACTCAACAAACTCAGAGATTATGCAAAAAATTCATCAGTAAAAAGCATGCACCTATTCCATGTAATTTAAATTATCTATAATATTTAACTAGTTGGGTAAAAAAACTTCGAATTTGTCTGCGAAAGAATGGTATCGTTTCTAACACAGCATAGAGAACATTGTGACGCCCTGGTCAAGATAAGCTATGATCTATTATCTAATTGATAATTGTTGGTCAGGCAATTATGAAAGCATTTATTTACAAATTTAGGCTAAGGTTTTAAAAAAATAATAGGATGAAAGATACATCAATTTTATGAATCCGAGTCTTCTATACTTTAATAAACAATTATTTCATTAGGCTAGTTTCACGGAGAGGGCCAAATACCATAATTCTGATATAAATAGCTCATTAAGTGTCGGGTGATTGCTTAGAGGTAGACAAAGTATTGAGGCGATTGTATTTTTTACCGGTCACTAATTGTCGAGTATATTTATAAGTGTGTTTATTTTTGGTCGTTTTTAAAGTGAGGTATGAATCAAGTACACGAAAGGCAGTCGAGGTCGAAATTATTTTGTGGTGTTTCATAATCAATTTAAATATGGAAACGTAATGTAGTAGACACAGGCAGTAAGGCCATGCATCTGAAACTGCTGTTTTAATTCTGGGACTTGGTCTTGTGCACTCGACAATAGCACTTGCAGATCTCAGACGGAAAAATTCAGTATTTGCAATAAAATAGTTAACCCCAACAATGTATGCTGTCAATAAACCTATTGTTTCCTCTCCGCATATTTGTTATCAGTAAAAAATCGATCATGTCACAATAAAAGAGATGATCAAGTCTCTCACTAATATGAATACTATTATTCAAGTGATATATCTTTGGCCGTGGGAGCGCCAACAACAAATTTATGTGCTACGTGCTGTTTTTGTTCGAAGCACATGCCAGTTCACCACATCCCAGTCCAGTGAATAGGCTAGTCGCTCCAATACAGTTCATTTTCAACAATTAGACTTTGGTTCGAAATATTCTCTAAATATATTAAAAACTCGATATTGTAATTTTATATCATATTATAAAAAGGTTTGGCAGCTTTGAATCTATTTTGTATAGGTTCAGCAATATTCATATATCATGGACGAACCTATACTCTTACAATTACAAAATCTTAGAATCTTTCGAAAGGTCCGCGTTAAGAATATCACACTTTGTCGATCAGGGCCACTTTTTCAATTTGCGTAGAACACTTCTTTTCAAAACTAGTTGTGCAGATTCTAAGTCAATAATCAAACAACACTAAATCAGATGCGTCCATAACAATGTTGAGCGCTGCATTTGACTCTTTTAATAAAATATTTACAATAAAAATGCCAAACACCTTGGCTAAATAGTGTTCATTTGTACGTCTTGTATAGACCATAACTGAAACAATAAGTGACATCTTGGAAGTATTGTTTTATATTCAATTTTGAATAAACGAAATTCTTTAGGAATACCGTGACACCTCACCTCAGTCCCACTCTATGTGTTGCACTTGTTTGCGTCGGGTATTTCTCTGAGTAAACGACGCTTTTGTGATCCCATCAGTCGTAAAACTTACTGTGTTTGCGTTGTGACGCACAGCAACCCAGAATAGGAAGTTATACACAGCCTTAGTAAAATGAAACTATGGTATCGCTTCTGAGTAATTCGCTTAAGACTGCCGATAACATTCGAAAATTGCACCTCAATGTTTCCCACTGAATTTATATGTATCTGTGTAAATTAATATATTCCTTATTCGATCTGTGGTATTTTGAAACTGGTAGTTGCAGCCCTCCTCATTCGATAAAGTTTTCTGATTGTGTGTGAATTTTATTCTTGTTAACGATAAATATGATCCTAAATATTGGGTGAATTTGTGGTTTCATCCCAAAGAGAGTCCCAAAGTAAACATTTTATGAGTCACCGTGAAGAGCATTTTTGTACAAAAACTTGCTTGATCATTGCTTTGTAAGCAAACTACTAAACGTGTTGCTAGGCGTGTTTGTCAAATAATAGGGCTAATCACTAGAAAAAGAACTCGGATCATTTATATTCAACCACTTGACAAGAAATTGATTTCATTTGCTCTTTTTCGACCAAGTTTAGGGTTATGACTATGAATATAGAATTCAATTTTGTTGGTTAGCTGCCAAAACGTCAGATCGTTTTTCCAGAGTTTTCTAATTTTGTCATTGCTCCTTTTTTCATTTGTCTTATATCTTTAAATTTATAATTTGTAATAAAGTACTTGCACTGATTTAAGAGAAAAGAAAAGTTACAAGTCATAACTATGCCGGCAATTGGTATCGATTTAGGAACAACGTATTCGTGTGTTGCAGTTGTGAAAAATGGAAAGGTGAGTTAAATTTGAATTACTTTTATAACTACTTATTATTTATTATTCCTCAAATAGTAGACAAAGTTTTGATGTCTAAACTTTAAATTAGCTATTCTAAGATATTCAGTTTAGAGCTTGAAACTACTTATTTTCTAAAGTAATAATGTTGGTTTGGGTTTGTTTCCTATTTAATTTGATCAATGCAAATATATGCTGAAATAATGGTGGATTTCAAAACATTTATTGTACATATAGGGTATATTAATATTATTTATAAATCAACTACCATCACAATGTATTACTGAACATATCGTTTCATCGGAGTTGTTTGATTTGATTGAATACGTTTGATTCATTAATATTTTTTGTGTGCATTTTAAACAGGTCGAAATCATTGCCAATGATCGTGGAAACCGCGTAACACCTTCTATTGTCTCATTTACGGAATCCCAAAGGCTAATAGGAGATCCAGCCAAAGATGGCGCATCACAAAATTACAAAAACACAATTTACCGTAAGCTAAATAATAGGAATAACTTAATTTGAACATTTATGCAGTATGACATCTAACTTGATTAATGTGCCATTTCAACTTCAGCCAGAGATAACAAATATTTTTATTTGTTGAATTCGACCCATTTGTTTTAATGAATAACTGCCTCATGGTATCAGCTGCCATTTATATAGGAAATCTCATTAAATTTTGCTTTACTGGAGATACAGATAATGGGTTGAAAAATATATTAAATAAATATGATGTTTTTCCACTTTTGCTTTCATTAATCAATACACTTCTGCAACATTTTATTTAGAAGCAAAACGTCTAATCGGACGTCAATACAGCGATGATACTGTTCAGTCAGACATCAAGCACTGGCCCTTCGATGTTATCGACAAAGCTGGCAAACCTTATTTTCAGGTATGATACATCAAATCGCATGTTAACTGTATACATAGATCGGAATATTGTGAGATAACAATAGTATTAATTCAATCAAGATTGGCGGCGCAGTCACCCAACTCACATGATTTAACCTACCCGAGAACAAATGGAATGGAGTTAGTTGAACATAATCAGAATATATATTTTTCAATTTTTTTTACATGTCTACTTTGATTAGTAATTCGTCCCCATAACTTAAACTAAATAGCACTACTTTTATTTATGTCCTACGTTTTGATAAAGCTCAACAGAGAATAATATATTACATAATATGACAGGTACAACACAAGAATGAGACAAAAATGTTTTGTTCAGAAGAAATTGGGTCAATGGTTCTCACTTCCATGCGTGAAACTGCCGAAGCCTTTATTGGACAAAAAATCGAGGAAGCTGTGATAACCGTACCTGCATATTTTAACGATGCACAACGGAAAGCAACAAAAGATGCCGGGGAGATCGCAGGCCTCAAAGTTTTGGAATTAATAAATGAACCAACTGCTGCTGCCATTGCTTATGGTCTTGATCAACTGGTTAGTTTTAAATTCAATTTTAAAATATTTTTAATAATTTCCAAATTCATACTTGAAAAATTGTTTAAAAAAGCTGATAGCACGGAAATCGCAGCAATTTTTCGTAATCCTTCAAGAATTTTATGAATGCTTACATTGTTAGTCTATCATGTTTACCAAAAAGGATTCTGATAATAAATTGGTATGATTATTAAAATTAATTTCTTAGAGCGAAGATATGAGAACAATTCTTATATTTGATTTGGGAGGCGGAACATTCGATGTGACAGTGGCAACTATTAAAGATCGCGTAATTGATGTGATTGCAACAGGAGGAAACACGCATTTGGGAGGTTATTTTTGTATTATACTATTATTCATGTAATGGAACCATGGATCGTTTTGAAAAAGTTGTGGTCTTTTTTCTGATGAAAGGGGCTGTTGTTGTGTAAAATAGCTTTTTACTCATCTAATGGAAGTATTTAATACACGTAGATGCAATAGGTAGCAAGAAGGTTAAGATTTTGGTGTTTCCGAAGTATGTGCAATAAGATGGCGCACAAACTGAACCACTTACACATACTATGTTCAGTTAGGATTTAGGTTGTGCGCCATCTTGGTGTACATACTTCGGGAGGTCCAACATTAATTATTATATTTCAAATTTCCTGAAATCTAATACCTCGATATTTTATACTAGAATCCATATTTTTTATTACAGTCGTCGATTAGTTTTACTTTCTGTCAAGAGGTTTGGGTAAATCTATATTTCTTGTATAAAATATTTGTTCAGAAACCACAACAGTTACATACTTTCAATATATGAAGTCTATTACATTTTCATATTGAATGTAATTGGTTTTGCATTTTCAAGTAACTCAAATGTAAAAAAAATGTTATTACAAAGGAGAAGACTTTGACAACAGAATGGCGGAACATTTGTCCGCTATATTTTTAAAGAAACATGGAATTCCAATTTATTCCAACACAAGAGCAATGAGTAAGCTGCGTCGAGCGTGCGAGCACTCCAAGAGAACTTTATCCAGCGCTACGCATGATACGTGAGTATTCTGTAAGTTTTTTCCTAAAAAAAAATAAGAAAAATGCTCAAATAGATACACGGAGACGAATATTGGGTGGTAATACATTGGATGAGCACCGAAATTTTCAAAAATATTACGTAACTGCGTAAAGTGTTCACATACTTAATAATTGTTCTCATGAATTAAAATGAAACAACATGGAATTTTAAATTAAACAAAAATTAATTGGTCTATTGGTCAATTGGTCTATTCGTTTCGGGAAAAGCAAATTTTTACATCAGCAACAGCAACCCTAATAACTCCGATTGAAATTGGAAAAATCTGAATTAGGAAATAGTAATACGAGGAACTTGCGTTCAATAATTATACCTATGAATTTAACATTGGATATTATATTTTATAGTGTTGTTGTTGAAGCTATTGCAGAAGGAATAGATTTTAGTGCACCCATCACTCGAGCAAAATTTGACGATTTAAACAGCGATCTTTTCGATCAAACAATTGAGGTGGTAGAAGAAACTCTAAATGACGCAAAATTACGCGCTGACCAAGTTTGTTTTGAGAATATTAATTTCATTTGGGCATGTAATGTGAAATGATAATCTCCTACACGAGATTTTTGCGTTTGCCTAATTGCAGCGCATTTTATGCAACTTGAGGCACATCATGTAACAGTTTTAAATTTGTTTAAACTCAACTCGTAACGTGAAGTTAGAAAAATTGAGCTACTACGCAAAACAAAGTATTTCCATTTATTCCCGAACTAAAAGTTTTCTTATCTGATGTTGTTGTCTGATTTTGAGGATTTGTTTGTAGCTATCATTATTATAAAATTATTACATATTATAAAATGCACTCAAGGTTTCATTTTTTGCTGACTTTGTTCAATCTAAAATATGTTTGAATTTTTTGATATTTTGTATTATTTGTATGAAATTTCGAACCTTGTTTAGATTGATGAAGTTGTCCTAGTTGGTGGTTCAACGCGAATACCGAGAATTCGCGAACTCTTGGAAGAACTGTTCGAAGGAAAAGAACTCAGACGAACAATAAATCCTGACGAAGCTGTTGCTCATGGCGCAGCAGCGTACGCTTCTAATTTGTGCAAGGATGTATCAGAAGGGGTAAACTGATTTTTACAAATTTAGAATATATTTTTTTCGATATCTCTTCAATTTTCCAAATTTGAAACACTTACAACTTGCAGCAATGCAAAAACAATGATTTTTTAAACATGTGACAAAATTGAACTTGTTACAAATTGTTTAATCTCTGAATATGCATTTGAGTGAAATATATCAAAATTATTTTAGATTGAGCAATTCACCATAAGGGATGTGGCTCCGTTATCTTTGGGCATGGAATCAGACGGTAGAGATATGGTGACTTTTATACCACGAAATACAAAAATACCTACACGCGTGTACCAAGAAAATTGGACCACGACAAGGGACAATCAAACATCTATACTTTTCAAGGCAATTTTTATTTCAAATCAATATAATAGGATTGATTGTTATAAGTTGATTTATGTCTAATTTACAATGGCATAGGACAACCGCTGTATATCAGAAATATCTTTTTGACTATCTTTGGTTACTTTGTGCCTACAAATAAGATGTCTGTGGTAACAGAGGCAAACATGAAATGAAATGTAGATATGAATTGCTTTCGTTCCATGCCACAGGTAAACGTATATGCAAATAATCTTTCACGAATCTGCCACTAGGCGGCACTATTTTTTTTTTTTTTGGCGGATCAGAAGTTTTCCAGACTCGGATCAGTGTCTTGAAGACACGTCATATCCGAGTTTTATTGGTCAATCGCTTCATAAGCATGCTACTACATGCAGTAGTCATACACTTCCGGGGGCCTCAGTATGTGCCGCGCATCAGCAAGCACAGACTTCAACCTGGGGCTTCAGTCCATGCCATGCAGGGCACAACTTCGGCCACCCCGGCTTCCGTACATACTGCGTATACCGCAGCATGTTTTTTTTTTTTCTTTACGGTTCAGAATTTTCCCAAATTCGGATCAGTGTCTAAAAGACACGTCATATCCGAGTTTTATCGGAATAACGCTTTACAAGCATGCCACTGCGTAAGCAGCAGTCATACGATTTGGTGGCTTCGGTCTTAGATGCGCCATCATAGCACGGCACAGACTTCCACCCCGGGGGTTCGGCATGACATCCACCGAGAAGCTCCCGATTCATCATTTCCGCTGTATCGGATGGTATTATCGGGGTTAAAAACAACGTTCTTCGAGCAGTTTTGAATTTTGATTTGATCTACCATTTATGGTGGCTGATTAAGAGTTTCCAAGTTGCGATTTTATTTTGCTAGAACGTCAGGTAGCCGTTTAGTATTTCCTTCCAGTTACTCATCAGTCCTAAAGGTTGCACGTCATTGAATTTATGTTCTATCATTATGAAGAATTCCATGATTTGGGTTACAGTTTTGGGTATGATGTTATTGTCCGTGGGGGCCAGATATCGATCCAGGGTGTCTAGTTGTAGTTTTGGTTTAATTACGTTCTTTTTCAGTAAAACAAAGGCTTTGGTCACAGCAATAACGTGTCCACATATTTGAGCGTAGCTCTTTTGTTTATTTTTATCCACATATGAGTCAAGCGGGTATGCCGACGCAACGCGCAGTGTTTAAATGAACTCAACGGAACGCGCAGCGTTTGAAATAGTGTCGCCCATTAGCTATTACCCGGTAGTAACTTAAAATGACGCGGGGCGGAGATCCAACTGAGCGTCTAACGGCTTGTATATTTAGTTTTTACTATGTTTTAGGTATTTGAAGGTGAACGTGCTGCAACAAAAAACAATAACCTTCTTGGTAGTTTCATTATTAGCCGCATTCCCCCAGAGCAGCGGGGTGTTCCAAACTTTTCTATCAGCTTTGACATTGACGCAAGTGGAATATTAACTGTTCACGCATATCAGCGAAGCACTGGTCTTCAGAATAGTATTACTATTGAAAACGACCAAGGGAGGCTAGACGCCAGCATGATTAGTCGTATGGTAGGTAAACTATTAAAATAATTATCAAAATATGTTTTACAAAGCAAAAAAAAACTTTTTGTTCTATTTTTGTCGAATAAGGCTATTTTCTTTGTTACAAATCTGATGACATAATAAAAAACATTGAAAACATTTTTTTCACCTGTGATGTAATAATACGTTGTCATGAATATTTGCCCATATCAGAGATTTCTTATTTAGAAAGCTGAAGCTGAAGTATTTGAAAAAGCAGATCAAGAATGGAAAGCTCAAAGTCAAGCCAGGCACAAACTTGAGGATTACATTTATACCATTAAAAAATCCATTCGTCGCCCATTTTTCAAAGTTGGAACATTGGAAGAAGACAGAGAGAAAATGATGAACAAATGCAGTGACTTACTTGACTGGTTGGAAATCCATACGGTATGTGACAATTTTTCATATACAACAGGTGCGTGTATTATATAAGTATGTTTCATATTTGATAGATTATATAGATTTCATTTCCTCGAAAACGTCTGGTTGGAATATGTTTGTACAAGCAAACATTTTCATTATCAGGATTTAATCGCATAAACTCAATATGGCCATCAAATATTATTTAGTGCATTTATCTAAACTTGTTTAAATAGTTTTGATATTTTCCGAAATATTTGTTGTTTTTCAGAACGCCGGGAAGGATGAAATAGAAGCATGGCACAAAGACATAAAAAAAGAATTCGATAAATACCAGCATCCATAAAACCTTTCTGTGAACATTTCATTAACAGCACCTTCAATTTTTAGAATTTAAATCATGTCATTTTGGATCTCTTCCTATAGGTTGACTACTCGTATTATCATCATATCTGAACATTATGCCGGAAAATATATGTAAATAAAACGGCTAAAATTAACAAACTTGAGTTAATAATACTTGGTCTGCATTACTCAGACACATATAATGTCAATGGTTTCGTTTTAATACGTAAATGTGCTTCTAAAACAAATGGAAGACACAAAAACATATGTATATATATTATGATTTGTTTAATTCAATATTATAATTTTTGATTTTATCATAAAGCATCATCCTCTCCACTATCATTGGATTTTGCGGTATACTTGAAGTATGAATACCAGGATTGCTGACACCGGAACGTAGTTTGTGTACCAGATTAGGGTTAAGCCATAATTTGATGTACAAATACTACGGGAGTCACTTGGCTAGTCACCGAACTCGTAATAGAACTAAAATAAGGAAAAATGGAATAAAATTATGGCCTAACCATAACCCGGTACATAATACGTTCCGGTGTCGCCATCTTGGTATGCATACTTCAGGAGTACCTTTTATGCTTTTGTGTGTATATAAATATTGGGCATTAGAGCTTCTATGTGTCAATCTAAATTTGATGTGCTTATTCGACTATTACTTGAATCTTAAATATTTAACTGGAGTGTGTAAATTATACCAGTTTCGAATAAATTAATATTGTTTTCAGTTTAAATTTGTCAAAATTTATTTCACGAATTTGTTTCATGCTAACCGATAATTAAATTTTTATGACAAATAATAATTACTGTCTAACTTGACTATATGACTTAAGAATAATCTGTATTTCTTTACTTTAGATTATTATATATTGTTTTAAAATAGTAGAAATTTATTCGGAACTTTGCAAAATATTGAAGTACACCTGGACTAATTTTCTGTATTAAAATTTATGCGGTAGGTTTCATTTAATGAGGGTATTAATATGTTTGTATTTAAATCCAGCTAATATTTATCATATATATATACCTTTTCCGACTCCTTATTGCAATTTGTCATTCGTATCAACATAATTTATTCTTCGATACCCAATTAAATTATGAGTTGTGAATATATGATAATGGACACAACTATAATGTACAGTGTAAATTTTCACAAAGTAAATATAAAAAAACATTAGAGTTCAGTCATTGCATTGTCATAATATACTTATATTGTTTTCCAGGTTCTCATATTTCAAAAATTTGACAGAACCGACATCGCCCTGTCTAATTCAACGTCATCATTAAATTATGATTGTCCTAGGAATTGACTTGGGCACATCTTATACATGCGTGGCTGCTTATTGTGACGGAAAGGGGAGTATAGTTTAGTACTTTGCAGTTAACATCGTCTGTTAGATAAGAATGCCTGACTTTTGTGTAATTGTATAGAACAGGGACTTTTTCTTAAAAGACTGTATGACTTAAATGTCTGATGATAGAGGTTATGCGTATTAATTAGGATAATAGATCTAAGTGAATATTTCAAATCACACAATAGCTTAGCTGTAGTAGTCAAAGTTTTATGCTACTATATGTGCATAGCGCGTAATGCCTGGTTTGATATATATAATTACAGTATTTCAGAAACATACATGATGATTAATAACGCAATAGCTACTTTACATACTAAATACGGAATGTATCTACACGTTGTATTTGACTAGTTTGGTCAAATATGGTATATACAGTATGTTATATAGCTGAATAATTTGTCATTTATTTTACATATCATATTATTTTAGGTGGATATTGTTACCAATGACCAAGAAAAACGTCTCACGCCTTCCTGCGTTGCTTTCAACGACGTGGAAAGGTTATACGGCAATGCTGCTCTACAACAAGAATTTATTAATATGGAAAATACAATATGTGGTACATAATAAATTATTTTATGTAATATTTAAACTCGTCCACAACTGTGGCGGATTACCACTAAAGCAGCACATATAATTAACTCTCTATTAAACTGTATCTCTTAAAACGCCTCTTCTCACCTCTTCCAACCGCCGTCCTATCACTCCACGTTATTCGCTAAGCCAGTCAAGTTTTGTGGGGGCTTGAAACGGATTATTGCATTTTCAGGCAAAGAGCCTCCGTACTTGAGGAATTTGTAACTTACGAAGTTGTTTGGAACAAATAAATTTCGTTCCTATTACGGAAACGCCTTAGCAAGTAGAAAATTCTGTAAAGTACATATGTTAAGAAGAAAGAACAGAGAAATACCGAATAAAAACTACATATTTTTCGTATCAAGAGACTTTCTTGGTGCGGCCCGCGGTCTCACCCAGTTACTTGTATTTGGCCCGCCTGTAATGAAGGGTGGAAACCCCTATGCTAAACCAATAATAAGTCATAATAAGGGAGTAATGTTATTGATTTCCATCGATTTTTCTGAGACGCGTCGACAATTTTAGACGTCTGACAGGCGATTTCGAAATGACTCTATTTATGCGATTCGCTCTCCGTGTCACGACTGGAAGCGTTTTTCTCTTGTCTCGCATAGAGGCATTACGTTAATAAATAGCTAAGAGCGATATTAACAGTAGGTTACCCGCGCCTAGCGTAAATACAAATTTATTCGCATATGCGCTGACGCGCGCCAAGAGAGTTTTAAAAGATTTATCGAAATCTTTCCATAACAAATATTATCATTGATTACATTGCTGTAAATACTTCCACTTTTTAAAGATAAATTTAAACATCTGTGAAGTGCTATTTTTTCAAAGCATAGTTCCCTCTCACTTAAGGGTTCAAAAGGTTTATGGGACGCTGCCGCGAAAAATCATTGGGAGAAGAAACAAAATTTCCGCTGGGCAATGACTTGATAAATCAAGAAAATAAATTTTCTTTTCTAGTAAGTAAATTTTCTGTATTCTTATATACATTCAAGTCTTTCCGATCAATACTTTATATGCTATGACTGGTATTTACAACCAAGTCATTATTTAGCATTATGACCCACGCGATATATTACTTATGGATCTTAAGATCGGTAAGTATGTTGATAGGTATTTGTCTGTCTGTCTGTTAGATGAACGCGATATCTCACGAAGGCGTGGTTGAATCTGCTCGAAATTTTGCATGTGCATTCATCATATCTCGGACCAGAAGCCTGTTGATTTTGGATGAATTATGTCGTATAATTATGTCGATTTATTAATTAATTAGTGATGGGACACGCGTGCAGTTTTCCCTAAAACCGTGTGTTTTGTAATTTATTAAATCTTATAAGAATGTGATACCAATACGTAAAGTTGTATCCGAAAAAAATTGGAAATTTTTATTTGGAAATTCATGTGACGGTATGCTCTGATAGACCTTTTATTGTTATAGGTTCGGTATAGAAATGAAGAACTGCATTTTTATCCGGAAGAAATTAGTGCGATGCTACTGGCCGAAGTTAAAAAAATGGCTCAAAATCATTTCCATGTTGAAGTAACCCAAGTGGTTATTTCAGTACCTACGAGTTTTAATGACGCTCAACGTCAAGCTACAGTTGATGCAGCATATATTGCTGGACTAGATGTTCTGGCTTTAATCAATGCACCAACAGCGGCAATACTTTCATACGGACTGGAAAATAAGGCAAGAACATTGTTTTCGGTTTATCTGCATTTTTTTTTTAACATTGCACCCTTTAATGCATGATGTCACGGAAATTGAGGAAAAAATTTATAGTGGTAGCATGGGGTGTGAAATTCACGAAATCAACATAATTTTTTCGTGTTCGCAAACTACTTCCACGGGGAGGAGTGAATTTCTCATGTGCCATATTTGACTTTCCATGCATTCACGGGTAAATGGCACAATATCTTGTGATGTTGAAATACCTTAATTTTATACAGCACTATTAAGCAAAACAAGTATACACTATGAAAATAAACAATCATGGCTTATAGAAACCCCTTTTTTATATTTTGTCTAACCTACGATGTCCAAACCAGCTTCAAAATTGATTGAACTTAATGCAGAACGATATCTTCAGCAATATGTTGATAGAAAATATTCTAAAATTGACAAATTAGAACAAGTTGAATATTAGAAATTGAAAAGAATAATCATGAAGTCAAAATGCTATTGACGAAATTCTCAAAAAACAGTTTTGAGATTGTCTCAGGCAAACTTATACATCACATTTGGCACAGCTCATGTTACTTTTCATCTGACCTCCACTTTTTTTGCAACGGATTCTATTGGCTAACACGAGACATTCTTTACCGTATCGAGCATTCATTGGTGTTAGAATACTACTTCAGCACTTTTTGGTGTTGGTGGGTGATCACTAGCAATACCTGTTCGATCACAGCAAGTTCCAATTTGACCGCCATGCACAGACATATAGCGATTTCAGTGCGGAAATCCCTCATTGAGAGCGAATTACGAGAGTGTATTATTTTGCAAAGAAGCCACGAATTGACAATATTTGATAGATACTTAATTCTAAATCTGGAAACAGTGTCTCTTTACGTCTATTTAGGTATTTTAGTATTCAAGTCTATTTTACTTTGCGTTCAAATTATCCTGTCATTACTTACATCCATAAAGACTTAATAAAGGTAAAAAACTGACAACAAGGAACTACTTAAGCTAGGTTTACCTTTTTAGGAGATAATTCAACAATTAGTCTACTGGCTTACAAGTGAAATGAGGCTGAATTTTACCAATCAAAATTTTGAAACTAATTACCAAGTGATATAGAACTAATAAATACTAATATACAAATATATACTTATATAAACAGTATACTGGACAGAAAATACTCATTTATTAAAAACAATCAAACCTACACACCAATATATTAAAAAGCACAGCCTAAACGAAACTTAAAATTTATACCCCTAAATGCATGATGTGCCAAATTTGTCACACGCATTACCACGTAAATATTTCAAATTTATGGAAGAATAGGTGAAACCTGCTTAGCTAGGCCTCTTCATTGCTAAATTACCCACCACTACGAATTTTTTCAGGTCCCACAGCCCAACTTGCTTGAAATTACGATCAGCGAGAGATAGCCTGTCAGCGACTTTGCACGAAAACTTCAACTTACTTATGAAATTCAGAACATTTCCCCGTTTATTACACAATAGAGAAAAAGCGTCGTAGTTGCATAGTACCTAGTTACTCAACAGCGTAACCAAGTGGAACAATATGAAAAACAACACGTGACCAAACTAGAAGGTGTTTTCCCCGATGTGCCAAATTTGACCCGACATGCATTAAAGCAAATATTAAAGCAACTTGCCTAAATTTATATATTTTATTTGTTATATTTAATAAATAATTTTAGGTTTCATCTAGTAATGTTCTTCTTTTTGATCTTGGAAGCTGCAATTTAAACGTTGCTGTAGTAAATATTAAAGAAGGAATATTCAGAATTTTCGCAACAAAGGGATATTGCAACTTCGGAGGTATGGATTATTGGGGAATGATGTATAAAAAAACATAATGAAAATTTGGTACTCCTGAAGTATGCGCACCAAGATGTCGCATAACCTGAACCCTAACCTGGTACACAACCTGAGTCAGGTTGTGCACCATCTTGGTGCGCATACTTCAGGAGGTCCGAAATTTTTTTATTTAATTATATGATTTTTTACGAGAATTAACACAAATTGAGTATAAGCATCTAGTGTTGTTCATATTGAGAAACGCAAAGACAACATTTTATGCAAATTTAGGCATAAATCACTGATTCTTTTTGCAATAAATCAGAAAAGCGAATAGACATAAAATATGTTAAAATAATTCATATCATTTTTTTCAGGTGACGATTTTGACTCTAGGCTTGTAGATCATTTTGTGGAAGAGTTCAATGATAATTTTCAAGTAGATATGTCTAAAGATAAGCGGGCTATGAATCGTTTACGAAAAGCTTGCGAAAGAGCTAAAAGAACACTGTCCGGCTCTGAACAAGCCAGGTTAGGAAAATCTATATAGTGTTGTTCAACTAACAATTCCGTGACCTTGTTAAATTTTTATTATTGTTTGTTTCAAAATAATAAAAAAAATTATTTATTTATTTAGTGACCCTTTGACATGTGTTCTTACTTATTTATAGCATTGGCGTTGATGCACTCTTTGATGGGAAAGATTTTGATAGTGCTGTAACTCGGGAAAAATTTGAAGAATTGAACGAATCTCTCTTCCAGAAAGCTATTACTTCCGTTGATGTAGTTCTCAATAAAGCTAAAATGACTACTAACCAGGTAATCATTTAAAGAAAAGTTTTTTCTTTATCCAAATCATTATGGATGCCTCAATTTGCTGACTACTACATAACGCCTACAAATGGCAGAGGGCAATCATAGCAGGTGTTGTATATGTGTTTTGGCTTAAATTATATTTACATTATTCTCTAATTATTCTTGTTTCGATCTAGTGAACACATACTAATATTAAGTATAAAGTATAAGTATCAGCGTCAAATTTTAATATAAATTATTAAGTGAAGTTTGCCGCCGCACTATGTTTACCTCGTTGCATCAAATTTAAGTTTTTTATAAAGCGAGCATAAGGAAAGTAGTTTTCAGTCTAAATGCAAAATAAATTTTCCCAAATTGCAACCTATATTGACAATCTATTACCTATATTATTATACATCATCTGAATTTACAACATCCAAGGGTTTTTCATAATGCATTTTTTTCAGATTGACGAAATACTCTTGGTCGGAGGGTCGACACGAATACCAAGATTACGCGAATTGCTTGCAAAGGTTTTTGAGAAGACAAAACTTAACAGAATGATAAATCCTGACGAAGCAATAGCCCGTGGAGCCGCATTTATGGCAGAAAATATCAAACGTCAAGTAAATAAATTTACAACGGGAGAAGAAAATCTTTTTGCTTTAAATAACCCAAACTAAGATTATTTCCAAATATTCGACGTTCAGTGGAGGACAAAATATTTGTCAACGACTGGTAGAGTGTCTGCAAAATATATTATGTCGTTGTTCATCATAGTGGATTTTAAAATTATTACAGGTCTCATTGTATTGAATATTTATAATTGATTTAATTGAGAATAATGAATGAGAAAACAAAAAAACAAATAAACAAATGCAAAAGAAGTAGTTATCTTTTGTCCATCTTTCCATTTTCCAACATCTAAACTCGTAACAAACTCTGTTTGTTCAGCGAAAGTTTTTCAAATTTTCTCCAATCAGACTTCAAATCGCATTTTTTTGACAAAGTTTAAAATAGTAAGAAGTATGCCTCATAACGTTAAGTAGAAATATGAAACAAAGTTCTCTGTAACTTCAAAATGTTAAAAAATTGAAATTAAATTATTATGTCGATTGATAGATTGATTGGTTGGAAGAAAATAACAAAATCAAAAGTAAAATTTGATAATCGTGTTCGTTTTTTAAAAAGCGCGGTATTTCAAACTAAATGTAAATTTTGCAATTTTATCATGTTGGCTTCAGTTGACTTGTAATTTAATGACTCTCCCTCATTAAATTGAACATTTTTGTTTCAGCGTAAGGGATTTATAGTCCAAGATATTTCTACATTTTCTATTGGAGTCAAAAGAAATAACTGCAAAATGATTGAGATTATTCAAGGAAATGCAGAAATACCAAGCCAACAGTGGTATAAAATTAATGAAGGATTCACTTCGCCCGTTTACTTTCAGGTAGGAATTAGTTAATTTGTATTTATTACGTAATGACTACATAATTTAATTTTTGATAAATGACAACATGTAATCGATTCTCTGGGTAACTCGAAGATATTTTGACACAATCAATTTTTTTATCACAATGCTATAATGTTGGACGTCATTTCTATTTCAAGGTAAACGAGTTCGAAGAGACTTCGATGGAAGATGCGCAATGTTTAGCCTCTTATATGTGTTTTCCTTCAAATTTGGAACTGAACGCTCCAATCGAAATCAGTTTCGAGCTTAACGGAAGTGGAATTTTAACCGTTCTTGGTTATCAGAAAAATCAAAAACTGAGCATAATTTATGGCGATGCAAAAGGACGATTGACATATGAAGTAACACAAAAATTGGTAAATTTTGTTTCGAATAATTTTATTTATATCATTTCACCATGCGGGATATAATACGATTTCCAAATTTTCGAATTCAATATATCTGTTAGCATAGGTTTGTCACCAGAATTCATTTTTAAGAATAAAAACTAAATTCCGCTGATTATTTACCTCCGTGTGCTATATTATTGACACACAATTTCAAAGCGATCATTTGCTAGTTAGGATGGAATGAGCCGCATTCAGGTAGAAAATTTAGTAAAACCGGAGATATGAAACAATAAGAGATCAGCTGTTACTAGCGGGTTAACCATGCAACGTTAAGCTAATATTTAAAATGAGTCGCAAACTCGCATGTGAATCGAACAGCTGATAATTTGTTAAAACGGTAATGACGGGTTTTGGATGATGTAGGTTGTTGTAAAACAATATGGTTATTATCGTGACTTGATATATTGAAAACAAACTCCAATTTGTTTGACCATGTAAATTTGATCCAAATTAGGTAGCTTTACATTAGTCTGATACCCAAAGTAAATCTTGGTACTCAGAAAAATTTGTCATAACGGCCAATTTTCCGCCGAACCCTTAAATTTTAGCACAGTGTTGAAACATTTTGAGCTCATAAATAAGCTCATGAAATAAATTTAATAAAATAAACGTAATCCAATCTATATCATCTTAAAAATGATATTTTCAGATTGCTATTTTGATTTTTGTTTAATCAACTTGAGCCTAAAACTCATCAAACTGGGACTATTTCACTCTGCAATTTAAAATGAGATAGCATCAAACTTATTTATATTTAGGATACTAACACAAAACTTGGTTTTTATGCATCAGGCCGATCGTGTGCAATCTTTTGATAGAGATGACGAAGAATGGAGAGACAGAAGCAAAGCGAAAAATACACTCGAAAACTACGTTTACGACGTGAAAAAGTCAATCCGTGATCGAAAGTATAAAAATAAGATGACCGCCGAGGAGAAGTCTGATTTAAATGATAAATGTGATGAGGTGCTTGAGTGGATAGAAAACTCCAAAGTTAGTGCTCCAATATTAAAACAGAATAGGAATGTCAGACCTGTATTTTCTCCGTCAAGTTAATTTTAATATTATATTAGCTAACTGTTAAATTAGAAAAAAAACGGCATAATAATACATCATGAGCGTCATTGATGTTAGCCAAAAAAATGGTCAACGAAAATGTAATATCTTCGATGTATAACTGGTTGGTTTTCGTGGGTATTAGATATTTTAGTAGCAATCCATTTCAATAACCTATATCATTTAAATTTCATAAGTTATTTCTCATTTCAGTTGGGTTTGACATATCGCGATATTTTGACTTATTTGAATATTTTATATGTGTAAGACCTTGACAACTTGCTATACTTATAAATATATCACCGATGTTACATACAAATCATTAATCATCTATAACTTGTTTTGCGTTTGTCACCTAGAATGCAGCAAAAGAATTATCAATGCACAGACAGGAAGAACTCGAAGACATATGGTTGACTATTCTTTCTCGGATTGATCCTAAGAAAGCGGTACGAACATTTTAATCGTTCGTAATACGTAGCCGTCATCCAACTTGAAACACTAGCAAGTTTCCAATTTATGTTTTATAGGATGAAATACGCATTAGAAAAGAAGCTGAACAGCGGAAAAAACTTGATGCCTTGAATACTCTCAAAGAATCAGTCACTTTATTCTCAAAAACTATCGAAGAACCTGGCTACAAAGAAAACTCCACAGAAGAAGACAAGTCGATAATTCGATGGTTGTACGATGCTGTGATGAATTGGTTATCTGGAAACACTGTAAGATATTTGGTGTCCTATTTTAGAATCAATTTATTACCTAATCGAAAATATTACAATGTTCTCAAAACTATTTATTCTCTGATAGGTGTAAAGATATTTTGTGCTTTGTATTTGTACATATTCATTGCAGCACGATGTGATACTGAAAATTTCATGAGTTTGAATTTAATTTGTAATAACTTTATGCAATATGTTTTGAATTAAGAATGCCGATGTTACTAGTATAGAGAAAAAAACAAAAGAAGTTGAAAGATATGGCGCGCCTATTTTTGAGAGAATCACTAAAAAACAAAAGGTACCACTTACCTCTTTCCACTGTTTAAAATTAAAAATGTTATATTTTCATCGAAGACATGCCAGATTTACTACTGAATTAAAGTATTAAAATTAACTACATCAATCAATAGTAAATGTTGATAATGTAAATTATACCCTTTCAAAATTTGAATTTTAGTGAACCACATAAAAAATGAAAAGAAGTATTCGCTATTAAATTAAATAGAAGGATATATAAATACAACACTATTTGTCGATTATAAAAATTTTCTGTTTAAAAACAACGTAGTTTTTTTTTTTAACTAAAATTGTATTGTTAGGACATAACAGTTTCTATTTATTGGAGAAAGGCCCAGGATGAGGAAAGAAAAAGAGAACAAGAAATTAAATTACAAAAGTTGAAAAAAAAAAGAAAGGATTTGGAGAGGACTGTAACCGCGATTAATAATAAAATGAGTGAAGCTGGGAAAGAAATGACAAAAGTTGATAAAGACCAAATCGAAGTCCAATTTTTGGAGGCAGAGAAAATGATAAACAGAAATGTAACATACTGTAGTTTTTAATTTAATAATTAAACGTTTTGAGAATATTCCTCATTGAAGATTCATAAAAGATAGCAAAATTGTTTGACTTGTATTGTGTCATAAAAATTAATCTATTTAATTATACTACATACTACTTACAAACAAAACATTTTCCGAAATAAACATTCAGAAAAGTTGTAATAAGCTGGGTGTTTTTCTGCCGTATTTATTATATCCGTGTTTAGTAATATCAAAATACATTGAATATAGTAAGGAGAATGCAGGAGTTCGATTTAAAATAATATCAATTTTTAAGGACGCCACCATAACCGAGCTCACCAACAAGGAAAGGGCGATTCATGATTTGTTGAATTCAATATGTTCCAGAATAAAAAAAGAGAAGGTTGTAGTTGTTTATATGCCAATTCAATTCAATTTTCTAAAAAACAAAGTATTCTGGTTTTGTGTAAATGTAAACAAAATTTTATCAGTCTCTCTTGATGTTTGAATATTTCATATTTTAACATTGTTTTCTAAGGAAGAGGAGGAGCAAAGATTTAAAGAAATAGAAGAATCCAGAATCGAGGCACGAGGAATTCTGAAACAACATTTAAGAGATCTCGTTAAATTGACAACCGAACAGTTCAAAAATGATCCCATTCCAGAAATAGAGAAACAGAAAATAGGAGAATTAGAAAGTTGGATCAAGAATCACACGGTACGTAAATCTGTGAATTGTTTTTCCAATGTGTGAAGTGTTTCAACATTCCAAAAAATACATTAAATTATTATTCAGGATGCTGTTAAAAAAACATTCGAAGAAAAAGATAAAGAGGTGCTTGCTATGTTGAACTATTTAAAGTCGCAGGACGAGGTGTGTATATTTAAAGAAAATTCCAGTTGTTAGGTTAACAGTGAATTATCTTGAATTTAGTCGTGCCTCACTATCTTTAATCATGTTTTCGAAACATGTCTTGGATGTTGTTACATGCAAATATTTGGAAATTAATTGGAATTAAGAAGTAATTCATTTTGATGCAAATATCAAAGAATTAATAAGCTGTTTTACCCGTTGAAAGATATACAAGGAGTAATCAACAAAAGCAGAATGTGGTTGTTAACTCTTCAAAAAAGACCAAAGATTTTTTATAATATCTTTTAAATATATCTCCAAAACAAAATTGAAAAGATATCCAAATTTCAAATTCTTTTTTTGTACGGCCATCTGAAAATTTGTGTTTAAGTGTCACACTCACCTAAAACTCAATCAATACTCACGATTTTTTCATTTTTATCTGTCTACCTAACAGGAATCAAAGAAAATAATTGAAGCCAAAGAACGCTTGAAAAATACAATAAATCGATACAAGGAGTTGCCTAATAAACCAGGATTCAAACAATTATCTACATTAGATGGCTTTTATATTCTAGATGCATGCGACTCCACCGAAAAATGGCTCAATGCAAACGGTGTACGTTCATGTGTTTAATTTATAGGTTTACATCAGGACATTTTCCTAGTAAAAGTGAACTACAAAATGATATTTTATTTATTTATAATAAAAAAACATATAGATACTTATTTTGCGAGAATAGAATTTTCAACCACTTGGCATGATTATTGCGGCTGGGCTGCCCGAGCGAAACATACTTCTGCTACCGTAATTAATATGTTTTGAGAGAACCAGGTTTTTAGTGGACGCGAAACCAATATTTATATAAAATATATTGAATACAATTTAAGATGCATCAGATTTTAAATGAAAAGCACAATTTCCTACTGTTTTGATTTCTGTTTAGAATGCCCCGGTGTCAGATTTGATAAGAAAGACAACGAACCTGAACCAAGTCTGTACTTCCAAACTGGCGGAATACATTCCATTAGATCGAATACAGGTAAAAATATACAATAAATTTTATCAGTATGTGCACTTAAAATAATGTTTCGGTGCTCCTGAAGTATGTGCACCAAGATGGCGCACAACCTGAACATAGTATGTGTACCTGGTTAGGGTTCAGGTTGTGCGCCATCTTGGTGCACATACCTTCGGAGCGCCAATGTTTCTATATATACTATAAGTAAATGATTTATATAAAATTTATTCATTCAGCAGTATAATCAGGGCAGTAGAAGTACATCGTGCGATGACGTATCCAGATTGATAGATGAGATTGGAAAACTGTCTATCACAGTGAGTGAAATGTTATGCAAGAAGCTGTAATGTGGGTGGTGATATCTACATATTTAACTAAATACATTGAAACAATTAAGTTAGTATTTTGATTTAAGAGTTGGACATATTTACAATCTTTTCACATTTGCTAGAGGTAATGATGAAGCATGTGTCCAAATACCTTAATTAAGAACAATAATTCAATATTAATTCAATCGGAGACGCAATAAAATTAATGCATCTTATGTTAAGGGTGAAGGAGCCAGAAAACAACAACAATTACCGATGGCTACTGGTAATCGTATGGATTCTACACATAAACTTGGCTATAGGAAGGTATTATAATTTAGCCTCGTTAACCAATGATAAAAATTGAAATGAATACTTATTCCTAAAAATTTATTCCTATAAATTTGAAACTGCAAATAAAAACTGCATTTTTATCGACTACCAGAATAGTATGTTATATAGAAGACAGCTTTCTATTATTCATTTGGATTTTATAGTAATACCCACAAAACTGCTCGATACCCCAAAACTGGAATTATTTGTCTATTTCAATGTACTTTTTATATTTTCCTCATACAAAATAGACATTTAGTCCAATTGATCAAGGTGCAAAGGCAAAATTGCAGAAGTGCATTGCAGACATTACAGAAAACATTGAAAAGGTTGATCAAGCACACATAAAGAAGGAATGCATCAAATTGAGAAAATCATGTGAAGAAACTCATGCTTGGTTACAAAAACATCCTGTATGTTTTGTGTTTTCATCATTAACGGATCATTAAAAGTTGTTTATTTTAAATTCGAAATATCAGATTAGAAGTCAATGATTTTATTAATTCATTGGTTCATTCATCGTAATGTTTAAGTGTTAATATATTCGGTATTTATATACAAAACTTGATAGAAATTAAATTCCTAATATTGGAGCTGGAGATATAATATTTACCAAGTATATTTTTTTAATTAAGAATTGTTCTCAACATATGTATGAGATGAAAATGAACAAACTGAACAAAGATTGGGATAGAGTTTTACCAAAATTGAGGGAAAAAGAGAAGGTATTTTATTTTGATTCAAATGTGTTTTAAAACCAGAAGACCAGCATCTGCTTTTAAAAATCAATAATGGAACAAACGCCGATCCTTTTTCACGATGTTTTTTCATATAATATTTTTTCATTTTAAAATACTATTTGATAATACTATTCTAATCGCGATTTTTGATTTCAATCGCGACAACAGCGTCTGTCATATTAGAATTCTCGTATTTTCACGCTTCTTGATTTTACAACCGTTTTCAATAACAAAATGATATAAAAATTGAAATTAGTTTTCATCCATATGAAATAAATAAATTTCAAATTATACTTCATTTGAGCCATGTTACTAGATCAATTATTAAGTTATGGTATCAGTTCTAGAAGTTTTTGTATTAAACATTAATATCACTATTAAGTATATCAAAAATACCAGAAAGTTCAAAATTTATCATAACGGTTAATTCCAAGTTTATAAAACCATTATAGATAATAAACAATCGAATAGGATATTTCACAAAACCACTGTAATAAAATATCATTCAGGAAACATCAGAGACATCAACATCATTGAAAGGTAGATTTTACAAGCTTTTGAATTCATTTACTGGCAAAGAGACTCATTCTCAAGATTCAGCAAGTTTGGAATCAGGAGTCGATAGTTGCAGTCAGAATCGCACATCCTTCAAAATTGAGGTTACCTGACGTTTTTTAGAAAATTCACAAGATTTGATGGTTTTGCGTATTATTTGCTTCCTTTCGTTTTATGTTATTGGATATTGGTTGGAAAGAGAATATTTTTTCACTTACGAAAGATTAGCTTATGTTTATTAATAAATAACACACATCATAAGTGGAGCCATACTTTTCTCTTCTTTTAACAGAAAGAGAAACAAGGTCTTAATCGACACAAACCGGGCGTAAACACTTCATGGTTAGAAAAAGAGAAACTGGTCAAATATACGAGTACAACTGAAAATCAGTTACTGCTCAGCAAAACTTATAAAAAAAATCTCCGTCCAGAAGAGAAGAGAAGGCTCGATGACAAATGTCGTGAAATTTCAAAACTTTTGTCTCCAAATACTGTTGTGAGTAGATTTGAATATTTTTATAGAATAGATTGCGCACACTGTGATTTTCTGATATTATTTCAACTGAAAATTTATACAACATATTTATACATTTGTTACATTTCAAAAAACGATATTCATCCTCGAAATTAACAAAAAACGAAAACAATCAAATTTGACCGAGATTTTGGTTTAACGTGAAAAAAACTGAGACGATGAGCCGATAGATTCAAAAATGTGCCACACAATGGAATGCGAACTAAACGCAATTTTGCAATCGGGGCGAATATTATTTAAAACGTAGATTAAGTATGAAATAAAATTATATAGATATACTATAATACATTGGTCCTCAACTTTTTTCTTTCGTGGCCCACTTTTTTTAGCGCGAATAATTCTTTGGCCCAATGACTTTCTATTATGCAAGGGAAAAACAACAAAGAGAACAAAATTTTTTTCGAAACGATTTCGAATTTTCACTTAATAATATTAATGATTAGAATGAGAATTGCACTCAGTTGCAAAAACTATTAAAGTTCAACTAGTTCATCCACTAGCAATTTTTAATATGTTTGTGAGCGGTTGTGACCCACCTAAATTGTTCCTGGCGTGGGCCTGGTTGAAAAACAGTGTACTAGGAGGACAGAATGCATAACAAAATAAATTATTCACTAATCTATTCTATAGCAAAGTTCCGAAATTTTTTTTATTATAAATTTACCCTATTTTTTTGTTTTTTAGAATCTCGAGGCTGAAGATTATGCGAAGAAGAACCGTGAACTTCATGAAATTGTAGAACCCATATTACAGAGACTGGGAATTCCACATAGTGTTATATGAAAATGATTGCACTGATAGACGGTAGTCCCCCCATCCACACACACACGAAGATAAATGCTCTTTCGAACAAGCCATTTCTCACCTCGTTAGTCCTTGAACTGGAGAAGCTTTAGGCTTTTTGGTAAACATTATTTCATTATTAGCCGCTCATGAAAAAAAACCGACGAGACGCGCATCGCTCAGAATGAACGGACAATTTTGGCCTCCAGGTTACTGCAATATGCTGTCGTTATAGGCACAATTTTGCGTGGATGAAAACGGTTTACTCCTCGTGTATCAGCGGAAATCCCGAGCGCATACCGGCCTAATTTTGCGTGGATGAGAACGGTTTACTCCTCGTGTATCAGCGGAAATCCCGAGCGCCTATTTGCCTAAACTCGCTGCTATAAATCTACATTACTATTAATTTTGATTCGCTTTTTAATTGTTGAACTGTAATAAATATGTGATTTTAATTGAGTATACATATTAGATTCTCTTTCATCCTACTCTTCAAAAATTAAAATTCGCAAATAATGTAGATTATATTAATTTAAGACATTATTTAAATGAAAATAAATAGTCAAATATTATAAGTTTGAATTTCATACTGAAAATATCTAATTGTAATATGTTTCCAGACTTTATAGAGACATCCGGTGTATTTAGCCAAAGAATATGTGTGTAAAATAGTTTTTTTTTCAAAACAATTCACAGTACAGTATATCAAATTATGAAATTTAAAATCAGATATATCTAATTTCAAATAATTTTGGCTTTATTTTTTTCGTTGGTTTTTGATCAACTTTTCGGATAACCATTGTAAGTTGTCGCAAGTAGTAGAATATCTATTTAATTCATGTATGAATAAATATCTATAAAATGTTTAGGATTCTGCTTTCTTTACTATGCTTTAATTTTTATGTTAATGATTCAATCCCATAGTATACAATTACAAATGAAGTGATATTGGCTTTATCGATTTGATAAATATTGGTGATCTTGACAGTATATTATGTTATTTTTGCTATCAGATTTATTGTGTGTTATACTTCAATATTATAGTTCCAATTATCTTTAAATTTGGCTTCATTTGTCTATTTCATATCGCATTTAAATTTAGGATTCATCAAATTTCATCATTCACTAGTTGTAACACATTTTGCCCATTCTTCAATCTACCTAAATGAACTTGTTATAATTGAAAATTAATTTTTTTTGATGAATTTATGATTGAAATAAATATTAAAATAATATACAATGTTTTCCGTATTTGGGAATGAAAATATTCAAGCTGACTTATTTATATAATATCTGAGATTTAGGAAATTTCTGAAAATACCATTATTTAAGTAGGTTGATACAAGACCCTGATGTATAATATTTCTATAGTGGATATATGGTAAACCTAACTAAATTAGTGTTTACGTCTTGAAAATACATTTGAATTATTTCCGTTACAGAATTTGGTCCAAGCAAAATTTTTCGCATCCACTCAGAAGTAAACGTGACTGATCAAAGTTAAGGAAGACCACTAAAATACAAAAAAAGTTAATCGTATTCCATTTTGTCCCACTTCTACTACACTTGCTTTTTTAGGCCCTCAATATGGCTCATTTGTCCCCTGTTTCGAACTTTTCAAAACATAGCCCTAATTTTTACTGTATGAGATAGTTTTCAGAATTTTTTTTTTCTACACTTTTAAACCTAAATGGGATACGTCTAGGATAATGAGGTAGGATAATACGTCTAGGATAATACGTAGGATAATACGTCTAGGATAATAGTGTAAGGGAAAGGTGAGACAAATGTAAGAAATGTGGAGGAAATAGGATCAGTAAAAAATACCTGGTACACGTAATTATTGGGACACCGTGTGCCGATATTTATTGGGAATAAGAAAAATTAATATATTGTCCGATCATTTATTAGTTAGAGCAACATACAGCAATACTTGACGCCAGCAGTTAGGGTTGATACAATCAAAATTTCACATATTTGAAGAAAAAATGTCGGCATATTTCTTCATTTAGTAGGTATTTAATCAGTGTTTTCATTTTGTAATTTTGTTGCAATTTTTTACTTGATAAGGTAACTAACAATACGTAATCGGTTAAGGCTTTTTAATAAGTATTATACATAATTTATATAAGAGCAACATCAGAGATATGAAGTAAAGTATACAGTGTATGTCGACTTGTTGTTTCATAATGCAATCTTCTAACTACGGTGAATGTAGAACGGATAGAATGCCATTGCCTCTCATTTACCATAAACCCTTCGGAACGCCACAAATAATTTGGCGATAAAGTTACACTGGGTAAGCTAAAGTCAGAAAAATATTTTTTTCTAACATATTTGAAATTATTATCCCGGCAGCGCATGCATCTGCCAAAACGCAACATTTCGGCGTAGTTTTCAACGATGCGAGGGGGATTTGAAAAAAAAAAAACTACAAAAGATGCAGAAAAGAATTAGAGTTTAAATAAGCCATATATTTCAATAGCTTTCAATTTCCTAAACGTCACAGATTTATAACCTATCTCACACAAACAAATTAAATAACACAGCCATATTTATTTTCTTATTTTCAGCAAGACCATTTTCAAAACATACTTGTATTTGACTATTGTGAGTAGTAACATCTGCGTTACGGTACTGTTAATAGTGAACAACATATATGGGGTCGTATCTACCAGCGGAAACACTAATCTTGGAGGTACTTGACATAGCTGTAATTTGCCCTTCAAAAATCAAACCACTTTTCATTTCCACTTTTTTTGTCTTTTTCCTCATTCAAGTTTCTATCCAATTTCTTCTTACCTCTAAATTTACATATATAATACAGTTGAAATAAAAGTATGCTTTTATTAATTTAAAGCTAAATCACATACACTTTTTTATGTCGTGTTATAGGTGGAGATCTGACTGGTGGTATGGTCAGTTGTTTTGCTCATCGAAGAAAACGATGTAGACATGACTACAGATAAGAAAGCAATGGACAAGCCGAGGGAACAATGTGAAATTGTGAAAACACAATTAATTTATGTTCAGGAATCCCCGTAAGCAAACTTTTTTTAATCATTTTCGAATAGTATAGTAAAGTCCGACACATCTAAAGTCGTACATACATGGGTGGTGTGCGCGCAAGACCATATATCTGGTATCCCTATCTCGGAATTAATATAATTAAGAAGTTCATGATCTTTATTAATTATTCAAAGAACACGCCACATATATCCGACACGACATTTTATATACGGAAATATCAATTGAATAATATGTTTTTTAAATTTAGACTGAGCATTGACAGTCTTTTCCATCACAAGAATTTCCTCTAACAAGTCACTCTCGCTAAATTTGAGGAACTGAATATCGAGTTATTTGATGAAACTGTAAAAACTGTAGCGAATGTTGTTCTCGCAAAAGATAATATGGAAAAATCTGAGGTAGGTCGGATCTTCAAGTAGCTAAAGACATAATTACCCGATGTAAATTTAAAAATAAAGTGGTTGCATTAACCATAGTTGTAAGGTATCAGAGCGCCTAAAATAGTCATTTTAGCTCATATTATACTGTAGTAGTAGTTACTCATTCACAAATCGTCGTAGTATACATGCGCGGAGCTATAGATTTAAAACAGAAAATATGCATAAACATAGCAAATATCGACTTCTCGGTAAATATTTGAAAAGACGACTCGATATTGAAAGCGTGACTATAGTTTTATTCACACTTAATATCGCATAATTCTCGATGTATTTTTTTTTATTAGATTGATAAGGTTATACCTGTTGGCTGATCAAGTCGTATTCAAGATTTATGAACTGATTTCTTATTATTTCGCACAAGATACCAGCAGCGCAATCAATCCAGATGAAGCGGTTGCGCTGAGTGCTGCAGCCTTATACTGCTTGTCTAACCAATGATAAATTTATAGGAGTGATTTTTTTTATATTCTGTAATCCCATCTATATTCTGTAATCCCAAATCAATTATTTGTTTTCAAAATCTTCACCATTTGACAATTTAAATCTCTGAAACATCGAATTAGCCGCATATGTAGTCGTACACGTACATTAGTGAATTTGTATGCACTGAATTTTAGTATATAACAGAAGTAATAAAAACGACTTCTTCGGAGTTTTTCATGAACATTCCTCTAATTTAGTTATGCCGACGACAGGTTACGCAAAATCAGAACTGTTCAACATAGACGTCTCGGTATTTAAAACTTGATTTAGAGATTACTCAGATTAAGTAAATCGCAAATAATCTATCATTAATATATTTTATTTTTTATTTTACCTCTTTGATTAAAATACATATTTTTGTATATTTGTCGTGCTATAACATAAGGGTATTATTTTATTTCTATGACGTTTGCCGTTCTTCTAGCTCAATTTTGAGAATCCTGAAACTGTAAAATTTACTAAATGTCAAGTAAATACTATTTAAATATTTGTCTTACCTTCATCTTGTAACTAACAAACATGCTGATGTAGGAAAATAAATAGTTGAAGAGGATGAATAAACAATTGACATAAATATTGTGTAGTATTTTTAGATGTGGGAAGAGTGTGATCCAGCTGTGAATATACATATATATACCTGATAGTTTTTTTACTGTCAGTATATATGACCGATCATATATATATATATATCTTTTATTCACTTTATATTTACATCTAAATCTTGTTTTTATTTTCCAAGATTTGCGAGGGAAAGCGAGCGGAAGCAAAGAAAATTATTCATTTGGTAAATTCAAGCTCACTGATATACCGCCAGTACAAAAGCGCTCGAGAAAATTCACATAAGAATTTCATGTAGACTCCATTGGAATGCCGACCGTGACAGCAAGTGACAAAACAACTGGAAACATATGCAGTATTGTTGTCAGTGGAGACGCGGGGGCAAATATACACGGAACCTCAAAAATGGTATAAAGTTGGCTATGATTGGTATTTTGTATTTGAATTTATTTCTAATATTTACATTTTTGAGTCTAAATATTCCTGACC